AACAAACGTAATGTTTAATTTACTGACAGAAGAAAACGTTTTAAAATTTGAAAACATATACCTCTATACAAAAACTCCGGATCAACGTAAATATAAAATCTTAGAGAATTTTATCAACGACGTAGAAGGAGTAAACATATACGTTTACACCGATAACGATCAAGTATTAGCACCGGAAAAGGTAACATCTAATTCTATATTTATATTTGACGACGTCGTATGTGAAAAACAAAACAACATAGCATCGTATTTTTGTAGAGGTCGACACAACGGTATCGATATATTTTACTTATCGCAGACGTATTCTCGTATACCAAAACAACTCATCAGAGACAAAACGAATATGATTATTTTATACAAACAAGACGAAACTAATTTAAAACACATATATGATGATCATTGTTCGTCAGATATGAGTTTTATAGAATTTAAAGAAATGTGTGCTAAATGCTGGAACTCTGGTAGATTTGAATTTTTGTTGATAGCGNGAGACTAGTTTTAGAGCGAGGGAAGGTATCGCAAAAGTTTCGATATTTACATAAAAAGAGCTGATTTTTAAAGAGCTTGATTATTAATACAAAATGGAGTCGGAGGAGAATATAACATCAAGTATTATGAAAGCTAAAAAAAATATCAGGAAAAAATTACTGGAACTCAAACGTGGTGTTGAGGAAACTAGAGAGTTTGTTCGCAAGCATGCGACACCTATCGTTGAACCTCTAGAAGAAATTGCACGACAAACAAAAAATTAATTTAAAAAACGTAAATCAAACGATGCAAAAGAAAACGATGGCGAGGAATATGATGAAATTGATAAAAATAAAACGATCGTATTGTCTAAACCGTTACAACAACATCAACAACAATCAAACTTTGATGCGGCGTACGGTGTAACCGTTAATGATGACGGAGACTTTAAAATGGGTGATAAAATGGTAATCATTGATGAACATATGGGTAATATCAAGATCGGTAGTCTAAAACAAGTGCCATTGACAAAAGGATTACACGAATTGTTATTTAAAAAGATACCTAACGTCGATTTAATCACTTCTGAGGATATGATAACGTATAAAAACTGTCTCATACACACTAGAGTACATAGAAATATTAACGGAAAATTGAAAAAAAATCAAGGATAAAAATATAAAAATATAATAAAACAGTTATTTAACGGGCGGCAACCAAGCGAAAACGAAAAGTTTGGTGGCGGACTACCGTTTTTATCTGTATCAAATAAACGAAAAGAATACATATATTGGGANATATCAAATAAATGAAAAGAATACATATATTGGGACGATATAAATGAATTAGTACAGCGTCTGGCTATTTTACACGCGTCTAAGCATGCCGGCAATACGGGAGTGTATAACGAAATAATATCCTTGGAAGAAGAACTTAGAGAAAACGGAGTAATAAAATGAAAACTGTTAAAGAGCAAATAGCGGAGGAGATACACGCACAAGCAAGAAAGAAATTTCCGAGACGTATCGTAACGCCTTACGCTAAAGACAACACGTGGCAAGCGGATCTCGTCGATATGAGAAAGTATTGCAACAAGAATAAAAACTTTACTTTTATTCTTACTGTGATAGATGTATATACTAAATACGCATGGTGTATACCTTTAAAAAATAAAACCGGTAAGGTGGTGACTGCAGCTTTTGAATCAATAATAAACAACTGTAATAGATGTCCACTGTACATAACAACAGACAGGGGATCAGAATTTTTCAACAAAGATCTGAAAACTTTTCTACAACAGAGAAGTATAAAACATTTTCCTACATATTCGGCGGTGAAGGCATGCGTAATCGAACGTTTTAACCGTACGCTTAAAGAACGCATGTGGAAAAAATTTANGCTTAAAAAACGCACGTGGAAAAAATTTACCGCTTCAAGATCTTACCAATGGTTGTCAATTTTACAAACAATAACAAATGATTATAACAATAGTATTCATTCGGCGATCCGTCAAACACCAACACAAGCATCGAAAAATCCCATTACCGTACGGTTCTATCGTTTACCGAATCACTCCAATATTACGCGAAAAGTATTTAAAATTGGTGATGCTGTGCGTATAAGTAAAAATAAAGCCGCTTTTGTTAAAGGATATACTCAGAATTGGTCGAATGAAATATTTTTCATAGATAAGATAAAAGAAACAATACCCGTAGTATACGTGTNTGATAAAATAAAAGAAACAATATCCGTAGTATACGTGTTGAAAGATGAGAATGGTGTATTAATTAACGGAACGTTTTATCGGGAAGAGATAAAAAAAACAAAATTTCCACATACGTTTCTTATTGAAAAAAATTTACGATACAAAAATGATCACTGTCTAGTTAAATGGTGTGGTATAAAAAAAAGCAGTTGGATACATAAAAACGATTTAGTATAGTTTCAACAATCATAAAAAATGGATCAATCAATAGTAGTCGATTTTCAATGCATCGTAGACTACAAATGTAAATTAATTGTAAAAGAATTATCAGTATACACGTTTGATAGTTTAAATCATTATATGTTTAAACCACCTGATAATTTCTACATGACGACTAAGTCAGCTAGAGTCAATAAGTGGTTACATCGAAATAAACACAAATTACATCATACTGACGGTGAAATTGATTATACAAAGTTACAGACGATATTGAATGCTCTCGCATTCAATATCGTAATAATAATAATACTAATATCAATTCATCAAATGTTACATGTTTATTTCATAAGTACAACGATAATTGTTGTACAAACAACCGTGTTAAAGTGTTATATTCTTGGTTAGTCAATAATTGTATAATGTAAAATAATTGATTTAATCACAATCATGTAAATATAAATAATAATAATAATAATAATAATAATACATTTTGTTTACTGCAAAAATGAGTCAATAAATATTTTTATACACTATGTATTTTGCGTTATTTTTATACTTATAAATTGTATAATTTTCATATTTTAAAAATATGGAAAATATATGAGTGATATCATTTTCACTTTGATAGCAATGGTAGTAAAAGCAATTTTACCCATCCGACAATAACAAATATATAGAAATGCTCGAATTAAATAAACGACATTATTTCACACTTAATACATAGATAATAATGCTATATATTCTCCTTGATATAAACGTTTAGATTTCGTATTATGTTTGCGTTAAAATATAATTTCAGAAAACCCATTGATTTCACTTATTCATCTGCGTATGTAGATTATAGCTCACAGAATAATGTACATTCATGACCATTCAGTACATACATACGTAGATTTTCAATCAATTTATTTCAATAAACAAAAACAAGTAGCATAACTAAAGAATATAAATATTCTTCGTGTAAATAAAAGTAAGTATTACTATATACATATTTTAACTACAAATAATTATTAAATATTCCATAATAGGTTTACAAAGAATAATAAAAAAGATTATTCCAATAATTATAGAATAAATCATTTTTATTATAATTATTAATTATTATATCTATATATATATAGGTAAGTTGCCATTATATATCCGGAGTAGCATATAGTCGCAGACTCAAACACGGTGAAATTTTATCATAAGTATACTATATTATACATCATATTATATTCATACAGATAATTTATCATGATAAATAATGATATTATTAATTTTAGAGACAATAACTTGCGATGATCAAGACATTTCAAATATACATAGAAAAGGTTAAGTTGGCTGTACAAGTGAAAACACTATAGAAAACATCATTAGCATATTTATCATAGATAATAAATAGATTGGATAGAAAATAAAATTATTATTAATAATTTAATTTTAAATACTTATATTTTATTTTTATCACATAACTTTATTTAAAATAATTTTTTATAAAACTAAAGTAAACTTAACAATACATTTCTCTTTATTTACATAAAAAAAAAAAAATATATATATATATATATCATTTAATTTACAAATTAACAAATTTGTAACAATTTAAACAATTAGGGATTTCCAAAATAATTACTTACATAATTATATACAAATTTTAAATTTACAAAGTTATATAGCACATGAATAAAATTATTTATAACAAATTTACATTAAGTTAATAGGTAAAGATAGCTAAAATTTGATTGTTAATTTTTATTCCGAAGTAGAGGGAGGGATATCTTTATGACCCCAAGCTAGTGTATCGTTACTGTTGGGTATTTGATACCGCTTGTCATCTTTAAATTCTAAAGCGATTTTATTAATTTTTTCAGTGAATAATTTATGATTATATGATCGAAAAACGTACATGGTGCGTAAAATTTTTATATTATGATAAGTTATACAATTATAATAATCATCTACGGATATATANCATGATAAGTTTTACAATTATAATAATCATCTACGGATATATATTTTTTAACACCCCTTTTTTCAAACCTTTATTTTTTTTCCCCACTTCTTTTCCACTACGCATCATATACGTTTTGCTACATATACCAATATATTCATTTAAAATTTTTCCACCCATTTCATCTTTCATTAGACCAATAATTTTTTTATTGACAAGCGGCATACCGTATACATTGTTAGGATCATAATTACTAGTATCGAATTTAGATATATTTTTTTTCATATCATCATACACATCTACCGTTTGTATTTCATAACACAAAGAGTCGGTATCTGTATATACTAATTAACATTTATCACTATACATTTTTTTCATAAAATTATAGTGAAAATCGTATATGACAGTCTTTGAAATTTCTAACACTGAAACCCTACATAGCAAGGTCTATCATATACAATCTCCACTTTTTTTAAATGGATGACTGACATGTTACTGTTAAATATTGACACACTATCAAAGTTGGGTTTTGCTATTAGCACACTAGCCCCATTACGTTTTCCCATTTTGTTATAATTTTTACATCGACTCTTTTTTCAGGATTCTCTAAGCATTTTCCGTATATACAATTTATCATCAATTTAAAAAATTCAATTTCGAAAGTCGACTTGGCTTCTGTACGTTTTTTAGTATTTAAATCTATATATACCTTCATCCAAGCCGACTGTTCAAATTTTAATACTTTATTAATTTTTTTTATTTTAACCCCTAGACTAATGGCCTGTTTCAACGTTCGATAGTGAGCGATATAATTTTTTTTATCATATAAATTTGGAATTAATTTTTTGAATTTAGATCCAGGGGGTATAATATTCTCCGGACATAAGGGTAAGTCAGAATGATCGTTATGTAAATTCTCACCGTGTTCTATATCTACATCTAAAATGATCCCCCAATTATTATCATCCGCAATTTTTGATATATCTAAATCATTAATTTCATATTGTGTCATCCATTTAAAATTTCCATATGGAAGATGCTGACTCAGTGCAGCACCATACAGATTGTTTGCATCGAGGTATAAAAAATATGTTGATGGTTTTGAAGAATCATAGTCATCGCAATATTTATTATTAGCTTTACTATAATGAGATGAACATTGAGATACTCCCCCTCGAATTCCATTATTAATAAAGCTAATCATTTCAATATCAGTCATCAATTCCAATTTTACCCCGGTAATTCGCTTCATAGCTTCGAAACTTAATCCGGGTGAAGTTATAAAATGACAAGAATCAAGCCCATAATTTTTTAAACAAACATTTTGAAAATTTTCAAAAATATCAGCTAAAAGAGAAACATCAGTTCTTAAATATAAGTCGGAATAATCCCCCAAAGTTAAACAGTTAAATTTATCCCAAACTTTTTTTGCATGGACATAATCCTCGTCTGTTACTTCACTCGTATTCAATAAACTACGGAAGGCGGATTTTGGTGGTAACGTGCATTCGTTCAGTACATTTATATCAGTTACATATTCGTCTGGGAATACACCCTTACGACACATCAACTTAAATTTTTCATCATCAGAATACATTTTCCTAGTTAATTTAAACTGGTCGAGACTCAAAGTTTCAGCTAATTTTTCTAACGATGATGGCATAAAATTTAAAGAATCAATAAATTTTATAGTAATCCACTTGTCATTTAATGTTTTTACACTTTTTTTTATAGCCATATATTTTTCGTTTGTTTTAGCTATAACTTCGATTCCCTCGTCGTCACCACCAAAAGCGAGTTCCCCAATAATGAAATGTGAATCATAGTTTTGCATATTATGCAAAATTACCGGGACAAATGATGGTATTGAACATTTCAGATTACAATCTCTATGTGCTGCACCTCGATACTTACCCGTTAAGTGACAGTGATCCATAACCTTCTCATGATAGCGTAGATTACCATTACAAATGTGGCAAGTGACTGCCATATTATAACTATATTCTTGTTGTGTAGTTAAAGCTTCCATGGAAAGAGGGTTAGAATAAATGTCACTTATACGGATAATATCTTCTCTAAGTCTAGAAATAAACACCTTCATGCAATCACCCCCGCGGTATTCCTCCATGCGATCCAAATTTTCGTCATAAGAACATTTAATTAAATAAGAAAAACTATATGGTTCATGGACTGAAATTTTATTTGAATATGAATTAATTGGATTAGGATCGCATGTAGCAATAGGTGTTAAAATACTTTCAAAATCTGCGTAGATTACGTATTCCACGGGGAATTGCATATGGAAATTTTGAAATTGAACTATGTTTTTTGGGGGGGTTGATAGTATTGTTTTTACTTTCATACAATTATCTTGTTGGTGAGAATTTAACTTATGTTCGGAATAAAAAAATAAAATACAGCCATCGCATAGAAATTTACGTGTCTTATGTTTAGAAAGCTGTGTAGATACCAACCGTTCCATGTTAGAAATACAACAAAAATGTCCGAAGGGTTTATCATTTTGATCTAAATATAATAAATTTACGTGTTTGCGGCGTTTATTTTCGGTTAAGTGCAACGGTCCAGCAATTTTTTCGTTAACATAAGTGTAAACATTTACACTTATTTCATTCATTTTTTCAAATTTTTTAATATGTGATAGTGCCAATGGGAGTTGTAACCCCCGAATTTTTAATACAGTGTTGTAATGCGGATATGACTCTGGCTTAGTCGCATCTACAGAACGTGACTGAACCGGAAATAAACCCGCAACCACGGCCCAATAAAAACAGTCTTGTTCCCTACATTTAACATTAACTATGGCATTTTTGCGCAATAATTTTTTTGGTATATCTAAATTACACCCACCCCTCAATGGATCATATTTAAAAATATTAATATCCAAAAAAACTATTGCACTAAAAACCCATCCGCTCCCACGCGTTTCAACCTCTTCGGACTTTTTTTGCAGTAGATGTGTAATAGTAGTAACCCACTCTGGAATACTACTGGATTGCATTAAAATAAATGGTGGGANGCACTCTGGAATACTACTTGATTGCATTAAAATAAATGGTGGTGTAGCGTTACGCTACAGCTTTAGCATTGTTTTACAGTTGCAAGAAAGTCCGCTGGACAGCGCTGTTTGACAACCCTTATTTAAAAGAATGTAAATTAATGTATTTTTTTTTATTTTTTATTATATTTATCGTAATGATTATTTTATGTTACATATCAGACTTAACGAGAACTCGAAAATGAAATAATAATAATAATAGGAAATTAGAATACGCATTTGTTTTTTGGAGGGTATTTAAAAAAAAATAAATTATATGTGGGCAATCGTTCTACACTACTCAGGTGGTGACGGGTAGCATAAAGTACACCGTAACTACTTGTACAATTATTCTATAAGAATTCTAATAGTTTTTTCATTATTTTTCTTTTCTTTGTGTTATTTAATAACATCGTTTTACTAGTGATTGCAATATTAATTGCCAACTAGTCTTCATCCATTCATCTTTCCATTGAGTAAGTTTTCTTTATTTTTTCCTTATAACTTAACTCTTATTGCATATATAATTTTCAACGGTGTTCGTAACTAAGCGTTACCAACCGTGATCAAAATTATATATTCTTTTCTTTAAAAGTTAGTATTAATCTTCAACGGTGATCATAACCATCGTGTTATCAACCGTGATCAAGATTACTAGCTTTTCCTAAGTATTCCTCTTTAATCCTTTGTAACGGTGCTCGTAATAAACGCTTTACCAACCGTGATTCAAAGGGTTAGATTCCACCACTTACATAATACAGTTCATCTTCAACGGTGATCATAACCTCCGTGTTATCAACCGTGATCGAGATAACTGTCTTTTTGTAAAAATCCCCTTAACCTTTTGCAACGGTGTTCGTAACTACTCGTTACCAACCGTGATCCAGAGGGTTATACTTCTACTTCACCCCAAATTAAATAGTTTCTAAAATAAGACTGATATGGTAGTTAGCTGATTAATATATATATATATATATATATATATATATATCTTTTTTAAAATAAAACAGAACAAATCGATTATTCGAACAATTTGTGTTTTATTTTCATATTTAAAGTTAGTAAAAAACAAATTTAAAGAGATCAAACGTAGAAACGTTTCAGTGGGATAGATAGATTTTGAGTTATTGTAGGTATCTCTACATCATCCTTATTAATATTAATTTTTTTATAAACAGTTACTAAATCTAGTGAAGTTTTTATAGCTTTATGTGATATTATTGCATTTTTCCATACGTTTATGAGATCCGTAGAGTTTTTTTGAATAAATTCTAAAATTGAAAATGAATTGTTGTTCTCTATTCTATATATACATATATTCCCTGAAAATATGGATTCGATTTTATTTGCGGTGGAAGTTTTTGCACAATCNGTGAAAATATGGATTCGATTAATATTTTCACTTTTTAATTTCAACTTACAAAATTCATCATCGCTGTCCTGAGTATTGGAAAATAATATATTATTCCTTTCACTTTCCTTAACATTATTAACTTGATGCATTATTTCCTCTAATTGTAAGTCGCTAGCATTTGAATTCTAAAAAATATGAATAATATTAAAATATATCTTTTGAATAAATATACATATTTTTATGTAAATGATACTCACAAGCGTTTTCATATGTATGTGCAATTTATTTAATCCTGAAATTAACGGAGGAGATGATTTTGTAATAGACACTAAAAAATTATTAATAGTTAACTAAAATATATACACATAAATGTAAAAATTAAACATACAGTAATCATTATCATTTTTCAAAGTACTTGCATTATAATTCACATTATTTCTCTCGTTAACTATAATTAAATAATTAAAATATATTATTATTATTATTTTTTTTTATTTTTAATATAACATAAAAATAATATAAATTATAATGTATACTTACGGGTTCCGTAAACATTTCTTGAAGTGCTGGCTTCGTAGTTAACCATGTTTATCCCATTAATCGATTTTGTTTCGTTTTCAGTAAACACAGTACATAATTGTAAATCATCATACGACTCTAGCAAATAAATTTTATTTATTAAACATTGTATTATTTATTTATTTTATTTTGTCTTCATGGTGAACATAGCTACCGTATTAAAAGATATATAAAAGATTTTGTGTTAAAATTCTTGGTTTTGTATTTTATTTTATTTTAAAATAACTTACAAAGGGATTACACTGATTTTCATAATTATTATATCAATTTAATTGACATGATATAAAAAGTTAAACATATTTAAATTTTTTTGCTTCTTTTAAGTCGAGAAAAATAACTTTAAAATTAGAACTAGTTAGATTACCATTTTTATAAAATGACATTGCGACGTACGGTTTTGAGACGTTAACACTTGTGTCTTTCACGCCTGTGGCACTGAAATTTTTAAAATTTTTTCTTAATTCTTTTTGAGTTAGAAAAAATTTTTAACTCATTTGATTTTTATCTCATTTAGATTCAATAACTTCAATAAATATCATGTATCCCGTTACTGTAGTCTCCTCTCGTGGAAAGAAATTCATATTAATATTTTACTATGTGGTTATTTTTTGTAGCATTCATTTATTTTCTCAGCTCTCACTTGACTTACTTTTTTTTACGATACATCAATTGTTACAATTCGTATCTAGTTAAACATATTACCCTCAAAAATTGAAGATAAATTCCACTTTATCAATTAAAAAGTTACTCAGCCTACATTCTCCATATAGACAATTAAAATCATTCATTTCTAATGTTTTCTAAGCATTTATTATCGAATTAGATTTGATATTATAATAGGTTACAACTACAAAATTAAAAATTTTACTTTGTAATTGATTAATTTTTAGCTTCGATGCGAAGCTGAGAAGGTTTGGTTTTACTATAATGTGTTTTTTTTTTGTGTCTGTTACTCAGCTCTCACTTATTTCTTTCAACGATACGTCAAAAGATCACAAATCGTATCTAATCAAAGACATTACCCTTAAAAACTGAAAAAATTTCTCTCATACCCCGTAAATGGAGGAAATCTCCAAAAAAATTATAAATTTAAAAATGGCTTTGAATCGCTAAAAAATTGTAAGCTAAACTAATAAAGATCAGCCTAACTTTACAAGGACCCCAAGAAGGGTCCACCCTGGGCCGAGGCAAAGCCGGAGCACCAGGGATTTTGTACCTTATTCTATGTGGAAAGGTAATGAAAAATAGGAATTCTTTATGATAATAATGATTAAAATTTATTAATTGTTAGAAGTTCATTGTTTTTTTTCTTTTTTATTATTATGATAAATAAATTTTAATGAACAATTCAAGCATATTAATAAATAAAATATATTGAATCAAATTAACAGTATGTGAATTAAAATACTATAAACAAATAAATGATGGTCAAGGATTCTAAAAGAAAATATGAATAGGAAGCCTAAGATAATAAATATGAAACCACAAGTCATAACAGAAACAGGTAAATGAAAACAGATCCAGTTAATATGATTCCTGCCCAATAAATTATCTTTTATTTACATGCATTATTTGGCACACATAGCGGTAACATTATGATTTATTGCAATTAGAACTAAATGTCTACAGACATACAGGCTTCAGAACGGCCTTTGTATTTTGTGAATTGTATAATTACACATAATCAGTATTTAACAGTCCATTTCAGAACGACTCGACATATCAACTATTAACTGGATCAATTAATTAATTTAATAATGTACCAACAAGAGAAAACAAAGAAAACAGGAGGGTAACGTGAGTATGACAGATCCATCGTGTGGGTCAGGGTAAAATGGACATGTCACCAACGTCAATGGGTATCCCCTACATAAATGTAGGGGACCCATTGAGATGTTCACCATGTCCACCCTGACCACACCCGAGGACCTGTCAACTTACGTAAGGTGAAGAAAGAAAATTAAAGAACAGAAAGAATTGACCATATAACATAATCTCAAATCATAGTTACAATATCTATAGTCATTAACTAAAAAATAAGAGGATGACGAAATAATCATAGCCCATAACATAATGAAGTAATTTACATATGCAAAACAAATTATAACAAACAGAAAAGGATCAAAAATATATCATGTGATAATACTTCGTTGTTGAATGCCCAAGAAAATGTATTGGTGTTGATGCCATTATGATGGCCAAGCCAAATTGAAAAAACTTTACTCCTCCATCACGGATTCGTAACACATGTCAAAAATATTGAGGAGACAAAACCATTCCAAACGAAGAAGAAGTAGTGAAGAAAAAAAAACGAATGATGATTGAGAGCTTCTTTTTTGAACATAACCATATTTTTTCTTATGTCAGCTTGATCACACATGGGAGAGGGTACTTGACAGTGTGTTCATTATTATGGTTTTAATCATATAAAAAATTTAATTATATTTGTATTAATAATTCGCTTATTCTATTAGATCAAGGATGTGTTCATGAAATATTGATTCTGCTTTGGTTTCTTACATGTGTATAAATAAACTAAAAATAATAATTTTATTATTTTTCATGGAATACCGACTCTTTGTGTTATGAAATACAAACGGTAGATGTGTATGATGATATGTAAAAAATATGTCTAAATTCGATACTAGTAATTATGATCCTAACAATGTATATGGTATGCCGCTTGTCAATAAAAAAATTATTGGTCTAATGAAAAATGAAATGGGTGGAAAAATTTTAAATGAATATATTGGTATATGTAGCAAAACGTATATGATATGATATGATAGTGTTTTCACTTGACAGCCAAAATAAAATTAATAAAATTAAATCTAATAGTTAATAGACGAAACTAATTTACTTTATAAAGGTTGAAAATTATGTTTACATAGATTATTTTTATTGTACAGAAAGACTTAGCTTATTTACAGGTAGCAGTCAAAAGTTGAAGAGTGGATTTAAAAATCGTCGTATGATACATCTTGTTTGCATGTACAACTTAATTGTATCACGTAAACAAGATGAATGTTAGCATTAGCATTGAAACTGGTTTTCATTTGACGATTTATATTAGCCAATATAGATTCAAAGTAAGATTATGATTATGAATATTAAACATAGGTTTAACTGAGCTTAACTCGACTCAGCATATGGCGAATTTGGTACCGACATACTATCGCACCCCAATTACCTATCTTAATTTTAATTTGGATGGCGAGACTGTAGATGAATATTCAGAGTGGTATTTATAATTTGTAAATAATAAGTTTGTTTTGTTGTAAGTTAATTATTTTTTTCTTTCCTATTTTGTATATAATATTAATAATAATATACATTAAGGCTAACATAATTAGCCATTGCTTCTAGTGTTATGCATGTGACAGGATGAAGTACAAGAACAGGTATAGATCTTTAAACATAGTTGTTTCATACACATATTCTATTTTACATCATGAAATTTAACATTTTTACATGTAATAATGAATACTGTACAAATATGTGCGGTACAAATCCACCATACAAATACCTTGTTATTTAACCGACAAATGTATAGATGTTTTTATTTTAACTATATTTAATATTATTTTTTAATATCATTATAATAATTCTATTGCAGTGATTGATATGTCAAAGCAGACCGACACAATTACAGTCCCGTCTTTTGACCTACGTATTGAAATTGAAACATTAACCACGTTCGCCGCTAATACAACTGCATATGCTCTAGTAATTTCAGACAATGTATTTACATATACACCTTTTGACGGTACCATCCGTATATTTTAACATTTTTTACATGTTTATGTAAACATTTATTACAAACCTTGCAATTAATATTATCATTATAAAATAAATATATTATATACAAATAACAACAATTTGTTTTTCATTTTAGATTATAAGTTTAATAGAAAAAACTAGTACAATATATAAAGTTATTGTTCATAAATTATTAATGTAAGTTAATTTTCTGACGTGATTGGGTTTCGGCCATTGTGAAGCCCATGAACTATAACTATTTTCTTGGGTATGCACTGTTGTATTGAAAAATGTTGGTCCATCATTTTCATCGCACATTTCTTCTTCTTTTTTCTAAAACATAATTATAAATTTAATAACAATAAAGGTTATGACAATCTATGTTCATTAAACTCACATTAATTTGAAGCATGTCTTTGGACCATGACTTGACCCAACGATCAACTATTACATTGTACGCTAAATTCTTCAGCTCGCTTATGTAATTACTGTCGCCTTTAGGAAAAGTATCGCATATTTCTTTATCGTTCAAACTTCTTATAAAATTAACTATTTCATCATTGTTTGATTGTTGAATTTTAGGGCCCGACCATTTACCGTCGGCGTATTGTATAATGCGGTCTATTTGATGGCTTCATAGTAAACGTGTTTTTATTTTTCTTGATATTGCACTGTTAATAGTACACTGTAAGTCCATAAGTCTATTAATGTTTTCGTTATTCAATAACACTCGACACCCATCGACCATCCTGGATTCTAATACTAAATGCACGGTATCACGGTACAATACTTTGGTTATATTAAAATCGACATTTTGGTATAACATAATATTCTCTCCTTTTACCGGTGGTGATTGTAGAAATAATGTTATTTTATTATTCATGCCGTAAATAATATTTAACTTGGTTAGCAGAAGCGTATTTATTATTATAGAAAGTGTTAATTATTTTGACAAATGTATATCTTAAATTTAGTGTAAAAAGTTAAGTCTAAAAACAAACAGCAGAAAAGATCATACATATATATATATATATATTAGTAGACTTAATGATTATTTTTTATTGATATAACATTCAAATTAATAGAAAGGGAGCAAAATTTTGATGATATTTTTTTATTTAAAGAGTGTAATTACAATTAATTGATAAACAATAAATAAATTACTATAGAAACTTGCCAAAATTATGGTATGTGATGTCCATGCCGAACTGGTTTAATATTTGCCAGCGGTTTGTTTGTTGTATAGGATGCTACAGTAATAAATAAAAATTTATTAGTTTATAGTAATTATTTTGGAAATTAATGTTTAATAAATATTGTACTTACACCATACTCCATTCACCGAAAAACGGATCTCTCGGTATTCATCATTACTATAGTTTGGATCTAAAAAATAAAAAAAGAATAAATGTATTATGTTTGTAACTATTTTTTAATATTTATACTTACTATTTATACTATCAATTTCAACTTTTGTTGAAATTTTTGTGTGATATTCATGGGTTGGGTTAGTATATAGTCTAACATATCTTTCTGTAAAAGTAAATTTGTTTTTTATATTTTCAATCATTATTTATGATATAATTATTTAACATTTTTTTACTTACCAATTTCGGAGTCGCTGTCTGAACTCCAGTAGATATCATCATTCATCATCGTTTAACATAATCTAAAACTATACGATAAAGATCGATACTGATCCAATTTTACATTTTACACTTAGTGTGAAATTTTACATTTTTCAAGTACTTTTTACACAAACATAAGGATAGATGAGGATGATGTGCTGAGAGTGTATTAACCCTCCTCTCTCCATATATCATTATCCCTATCTGTTTACTATAATTTAAATTATGATATAATAAACAATATCGAGTTTACNCTGTTAATTACTATAATTTAAGTTTTAATATAATAAACAATATCGAGTTTACTAATAACAATACAGCATATTGTATATAATTTAATATGTTAAATTTATTTAATTATCACAACACTGCATATGTTTAAATAAAAATTCCATGGAACTTAACATGCGCGAAAACGAGACATAAATGTAATATATTATCTATTTCAAAAGTAATTAGACGATCAACTGTCATTTTCATCATTAACACAGAAGAACACATCATAAATTAAATTTCATTGCAATTTTTTAATCAATGCAAGTATATAAAGTCTTGGATCTGTTTATTCATTCGAAAGAATTATAAGAGTGCAATAGTTTGTTCTAATAACCAGATTTTGTGCAAAGAAATTTGTTGTAGTTACATTTTTGGTTTGATAAAAAATTAAACTGTAAGTATAAAATTAATTATTGTAATTATATATACTATTTTTAATGTCATAATAGATTTTAAAAAATAAAAATTTCATATTATCAAATTAATTGAACTCAAATGTTTTTTTCTTTGCAAATTTATTGGAATTCATATTATATAAATTTACATTATAACATTTTATTGTCTTAATTTACAAAGAATATTATAATAAAATGTTAATTATTTCAGATTTTATATCCACTAGCGATTACTTGCTGTNCCAGATATTATATCCACTAGCAATTACTTGCTGTTTCAATTGCATTTCGACGAACGGAAAATTTATACTGTAACAAATACTTGTTGCATCAATTGCATTTTGAGGAATATATAAATAATGTAAGTTCTTTAAATTGTTATTTTAATATTATAAGTTGATTATTAACCAACAGTAAAATTAAATTTTTTTACTAATAATTTATTNACATAATTATTGAATTAGTAAATAAGTCTAGATATTTTTTTTTCTAAATAAAGTTATTATTTTTTATTTTAGTTATCATGCCGCAAAATCCTTTTGTACCATTCGATTTTCTACCAGAACCTACTATTAAACTTTTAGTCGAAAGCAAATCTCGAAGTTATCGGAATATATGCAAATACACTGATATGTTTAGAATTGATATATTAGACAAATTTAGGATAATACATAACCTCAAAAGAGGTTATCCTGTTTTAGTTTTTTATAGTGAAATAGATAACATCATTAGTTGTGGAAATTTCCAATGTAACAATATCCTTTTTTATAATCGTGATTGTTTTAAAGTTGAAGAATTTATATTAATTCAACATGCTAGGGATGTGCAAGAATTAGCTAAAACAATATTATGTTCCGAATGTAATATTCGCTGTACATACCTTATGATTGATGTTAACTATTTTGAAAATCTTACCGCGTATAAAATTAATTTACAACAAATTAAAAATACAAGAGTAAATAATGTTGATATAAGATCTTTAGTTCAACATTTTTAGTTATGAAAAAAATAATAAAATATCGAAATATATTTTGTATGTATTTAACCTTTATGTGACTGAAAAAAAAAACAACTTCTTATGACGGTGTAGATACCCGGGTACCTACAATATAGTTATCTGTGCTTTTCCGGTAAATTATTTCATTGTCGTCAGTCTATCTCTTTATATTTTATTATATGTAATTCTTCTCGTATCTGGTGTACATAGATCTAATAAAGAACATGTATCAGAAATGTGGAAATTAGACTCGTTACCTCTCATTCGAGCTGCAATGTCTCGAGATCGATTCAAAATGTTGCTAAGGTTTATTCGTTTTGATAATGTAAACACTCGTAATATACGTATTACAAAAGACAAAGCTACACCGATTCGTGATATTTGGACATGCTCAATAAGAACTTACATAAAAATTATAAACCTACAGAAAATATAACAGTAGACGAACAATTATTTCCTTACAGAGGACACACAAAATTTACACAGTACATTCCATCTAAATCTGCAAAATATGGAATAAAGGTTTTTTGGGCTTGCGATGCAGCAAATGCTTACCCTTTGCATGGTAAAATTTACACAGGTAAATCACAAGATGGTAAACGTCAAGTAAATATTGGTGAACGTACAGTTCTAGACTTAGTTGCGATGTATAAAGGTTCTGGACGAAATGTGACTACAGACAACTTTTTTACAAGTATGCAATTGGCTACTACATTAAACTCTTGGAATATGACATTGGTTGGTACTGTCAGAAAAAATAAAAGATTCTTGCCTCCCAAAATGCTTCTATCAAAAGCCAGAGCGTTATATTCTACAAATTTTGTATTTAGAAAAGATATAATTCTTTGTTCTTATGTTCCAAAAATAAATAAATCGGTTATTCTTTTATCTACAATGCATATGACAGCCGACATAATGCAAGCTGCTACCGCTAAACCAGAAATTATAAAATATTATAATCAGACAAAAGGAGGAGTAGATACAATGGATAAAATGTTAACAGAATACACAGTAAAGCGAAGAACTAATCGTTGGCCACTTGCATTTTTTTTCAACATGATTGATATTGCTGCTTTATCTGCATATATTATATATATGGAACACAATCAAAGGTTTAACATAACTGATCGATGCCGAAAATTTTTAAAAGAGCTTGCAAATCAGTTATGTATGCCTGCAATAGAAATTCAAATCTCCATACCTAAAGTAGTAGGAAATCGATATACTCGTAATTCAATGGAAATGATTCTCGGACGGCCAATACAACAGATAATTGCTATTCCTAAAAATGAACCACCTCGTGATGCTTCAGGACGTATTCAAATAGTTGGAAGTTGCTTAGTATGTCGAGAATTGGGTTATAAGCAACGGAAAACTCGAAAAGCTTGTTCAACTTTCTCAAAGCCTATTTGCAATGAACACTCAATAAACAAATCATTTTGCGAAACTTGCAATCAACAAAAAACCTAAATATGTTATAATACTTACTAAATATGTAAAAAATAACATTTTTGTTCTCTTAATATTTGTATCTATTTTATTGATGTCCAGTAAAAATATTTATCAATGGTAATTTAACTTTTTTTTATATCAATAAAACCTACATTTAAATACAATATATAGAGGTACCCAGGTACCTACTACGTCCTTATAAGGTGTAAAATTAACAACGCTATTTTAAGTACAATAAATTATATACTTTTCAAATACAAAATATAAATTTGTTAACTATACATGCTATTTAGAGATGTCACAGAAGGACTAACCATACATACTAAATATTTAGAAGGAAAATAAATTTAAAAACTGAAAAGGTACCCGGGTACCTTTCCAGTCACATAAGGGTTAAAAAGAATTTTTACTATTACAATATCTTAATAGATCGAGTACCAACAGCACTGTTGTAACATTTGTTCTACAGACAACAACAACAGACGATAAAGCGCAAGTTGCAACATTGATAAAATAAATCAATGTGAAAATATCGAATATCAAATGGGTGGTAAAGTACTTTGAACCCAGCGTGGAAACCGAACTGGGTTTGATGCGTATTCTGGACAGCAAGAAATGGCTCCCGTTAGAATTTCAACACTGGGACGTTGCCGTTTACCCGTTGGTACCGCAGACAACTCATCACACGTGGTCGGTGCGCACCTATTCGAATGTGGAAAAACCTAGATATTTACTTATTGCCATGGGTAATGAGGACGAACACGTTCTCGGAGATTTCAATCACTGTTCATTGAGAAACGTNGTACCTTGATCACAAACTATTGAAGTCACAAGTAAACCTATTTGTGACGCTTTTGAAATTACGTCTACAATTAAACTACTTAAATTTGTTTGATTCATAGAAGTACCAGATAAGAAATATGCCAAAGGTAATTTCCACCTGCCATATAAGCCTCTGGCAAGAAATACCATGGCTTGAGAAGCAAGATAATTAGAACGACCTTTATGTCCTAAATCTTCATAACCCTCAACACAATCTAAAAATTTAGAGTACTCAAGAAAAGTTTTGATTTTCATTTTATCAAATGAAATTACACAAAATTTATCTTGTTGGGACATAAGCCCAACTTTAATTTTTATGTGGTCAAGGTAAGCTGAATTAAAACCGGGTCGGAATTTAGAGTTACCAATCCATCTTTTTATAGATGTTACCCCAGGTAAAACTATACCTTGGCGGTATCTTAAAAATTTATAAGTTGTAGGAGATTTATAAAATAAATTTAAAGCAAAAGTTTTTTGAGCTCGCGAATAAATTTTTCTAGACTTATTATTACGAAACATTTGCATTTCAGCTAAAATTTTAGAATTCTTACTTGAATATTTAATTTTTTTTATGACTTGAACTTGGTTTCTTAAACACTTTAATTTGCTTCTTAATTTAGTCACAAGAGAATTTTTATTTTTCAATAATTTTTTATGTTTTTGAACAATACATTTAAATTTTTTAAAAGATGTACCTGGACTAGAAATATTTGGACATTTTTGTTCATAATTGTTCTTCGATACTTTGTGAGAAACAGGAGTGGATGGCATTTCAGTTAAATTGTTTATGAAATTTCTAGTAGCTGGTGACAAAGTAGAAGTTGAGGGTGAAAATAACTGTTGTGCACATAAAGAAACTTTTGGCGATNGCTGTTGTGCATATAAAGAAACTTTTGGCGATTCTGTTGGTGTCTTTTCTTGTTTTTTTTTATAAGTCCTAACTGGAGTCAAAACTTTGATTACCTCATCATTTTTGTCATATTTTTGAGGTATAGCCGATTTAGACAAATAAATTTTTTTCTCACTAAGATAATCGGAGGCTTCAAAATGATCACAACAAACATACTTATTATACAATTCATCTACAGATAAATTTAATAAACTGGTGTTTCCTAAAAAATATTTATCCATAATTAATTTAATACCCTTCATTGAAAACTAAAAAAATGTTAAAAAAAATAAATTGATCTATAGTCGTAACCAAATCGACTCATCTAGTGTTTTAACATTATACATTTTTTGATAAAAATCAGTCTTGTAAATTAAAGTAACTTAAATTATTCATTACTTTAATTTCGTTATTTTACTGTAACGAAATTACGAAATTTAATTATTTTTATTTCAAGTAATTAATAAGTAATTTAATAACATTTATGAAGTAATTTCAAGATAATAATGATACTTTTAAAAGAAAAACAAATGTTCATAAAATAAATAACAATTCACGTGTATAACACCCAATATAGTCCATAAATTGTTCTAATTCATCATTTTAATAATATTTGATATTTTTATACCTAAGCGAGAGGAAGAGTACGGCTAGAAAATGTCTAGTTATAAAAAAATAGCTCTACTCACTCTTTACCTTATAGAATTAGATATTCCATTTAAAATGTGGCTATGACAAATATTGAGAAATAGAACGGTTTATAAGTATTATTTTTAATGGTTTAGTATTTGGTTAAAAATATAAAAATACAATTTTTTAAAATTATTCTACAGTGTACAAAAGTACTTTATACATACCAGAGTTTAATACCNAACAATTTTTTTAAATTATTCTTCAGTGTACAAAAGTACTTTATACATACCAGAGTTTAATACCCATTGCATCGATCGATCATCCTTCGGGAAACGATGGAATCTGAGATTTGGGTTTTCTCTTTTGTTTTTACCGCAATTAAAAAAAATACACTTATTTCCACGTTGTGTACTCATTGTTATAATTATAATTATACAGATAATAATACAAATAAATATATTAAATGGTAAAACCACGCAAAAGGGACCTTAGTCTTCAGTACTCTAGTGAAAATATGAATAGTGATTATGAAATAGGAAAGATTTTTTATTTAGTTGGATATTTTTACATTGATAGGTTTTAAAAACAACACAAAAATACAAAATAGGCATGATAATTCGTGTTACAATAAGATGTAAACATCGCTAATACATCCTGTTTTTAATGCAATTCCAAATATAATCCTGGCGCCGAGATATCGTATTATTAAATCGTACTCTTTTACGTGGTCTATAGTACAATTGTTTTACGATCTCTCATAAAGTGTTAAATTTTATTTTTAATCGTGTTAAGTTTGTAAGGTCACATGAATTCATGAAATTGGGCTTGTCAGAATCTATCATTAAAGTAAAAATGACCCATACTAATTATACAACTGGAATTATATCTCTAGCTATATATATGATCCTATAATAATTAAGAAAATGTTTTTATTGGAAGTTGTATAACATAAATCAAAGATAAATACGCAATCATACCGATTTTAAACACATCAGAAAAAGATATTTCGATTTCTATAAATAATATTAAATTTGATTTTTTAGCACAAGATTTCGTGCTCATAAATAATATGTAAATACTATCAATTGTAATAATGTTAATACTAATAATAATAATAGATTATCTCTTTTAAATCAAAACCTTAATTTAAATCATTTAAACAGTAAAGAAAAGTCGTCTATTAATAATTTATACAATCAATTTAATGATATATTAATTTTATCCGATGATAAATTATCTTATACTAATCAAATTGTACATAAAATAATTACTCCTAATGCTCATCCAATTAATATTAAACAATTGATACCCTATGTGTCATAACGAGGAAGTTGATAAACAATTAAAAAATCTTTTAAAGCAAGGTAGCATTGAAAAGTCTAATAGTCCATGGAACTCGTCTAGAATTCTAAATTTTATAAAGAAGTATATATATATTATGTTTGGTCTGTTAATAAATATTTTTTTGATTTGTTTTATACTCTTTTTTTGTTATTTTCATAAAAATTATAAATTAATTGTTCAAAAAAGAGTTATATGAAAGATTAAATAATCTGAATTATTTTTACCATGTCAGAAATATTTATTAACGATATTTTTTAAAAAGGCACTAGTATAGAATTTACTCAATACCTACAAAAAAGAATGAACCAATAAGTTAATACTTATTTGAGTCATTATGCTTTCTGTTTAAAATAATTTATAAAAATATTTAGAGATCAACAGTTTAGCTTGTACTGTAATACCACATTTTATAACGTGTATAACAATAACTTTAATTATGTGCATCATACATTCATTTAATAATTATTAAAGATTTAAAATACCACGTATATTTCAACCAATAGAAGCACTCAAAATTTACGCTATCTATCAGCACAATCGCCTGCGTCCAGCGCATCGTTTCCCTGCGTCCATTCATGATAAAAATTGGACTGCCAAAATTGTGTACGGCGTGGTCTATCTATGTGTATTTAATCTATGGTAAAAGATATAAACGTTGCGATTCACACCTCCGACCGACACCGTCATCAGGGCGGTTACACGACTACGGCTTATACCCCGTCGACGACGGCGGCGGCGGTTGCGATGGCGCGTCGACGGCGATGTCACAATATAACGCGCGACCGTTTGACGTACAACTCCGGGGGGAGGGTGTAGGCAGGGGCAGAGTCTTTAACATTATAGTATGTGACGTGTTGACCTTAAGGGCGATTATATTACGTAACACCTGTGATGCTCCTGATTGAGGGGCACGCGTTGCTGCTTACGTCACACCGACAACGACGTAACGNTTACGTCACACCGACAACGATGTAACGCCGAGTCAGCTGACCATACATTACAAACTTGGCATTAATACCATGATAAGAAATTAGATAAGGCAATTATTACTTATCACTCTCATTCAAAAGTATAAATCATTTTCATGAAAAGATAGCGTTTTCTTGAATACATATACTTTATACATTTAAGTTTACACATTAATGTCTAATAATAAACACAAACTGATTAATAGTCAAAAGAATTTGATTAAATAATAAGGTTACTTCTAACGTACACATTTTTTTTTTTTTTATTTAATTACAAAATAACTGAATTCTTATGAAATAGTAAAATATTGTACATATACCTATAAACCTAGTCGAGTTTGATCTTGATTATGAAAATTAGATCACATGGCTTTCTGTTTTAACCATCTTACAATAGCATATTATATCTAGTTATATTCTATTTAAACATAGGTGTATATTAAGCTGGGTTCCCATTACTCGTCTATTTGCCGAATATAGGACGAATACTGAATGTTCGTCTACTAGCACAAGTAGAAAAATATTGCCGTTCCGATTACCCGTCTATTTGTAAAATTATTTTGTATTTTCCATGTTGAGTTAAGTGTTGACAATCAGTGGAGAATATTGTAATGTATATTGTGGTTGTGTTTTTTAACTTAAAATTTTAACTTTAAAACTTTTTTTAATTATTATAGTGTATTAATTTATTTATAAAAATATATGGATAAACGAAAAAAAATAGCAGCTCTCGAAGCATTTTTATTATAAAATAAAACATATATAGAATTAGTTGAAATTAAAAAAGAACAAGAAGAAAAAAAATACCCAAAAAAAGGAGATGGTGGATGGTATCATACAACAAAAGTCGAGCAAGGTATGTTTATTTGTGTTCAAAATATACAATTTTTTATGTTTTTTTTACCGCTTTATCAGCCCATTAATGACCGCAGTGGCCTCCCCCAAAGGAGGAGGTTTCTTAACCATTGATACTTCGGGACGGGTGGTTATTCTGTCGCCGGAGAGAGGGATTTAATAATATGTAAGAAATAATTCAAAATAAAATTAATATGAAATCTTAATTATTTTACTATTTACATATAAATTTATATTTATACTTGAATATTTAAATTTCAACAAATAGCCAGATTTATAATTTTGGGGTTCTCCATGCACACAGTGGAGAACGGGTTCAAGTGTAACACTTCTTATATTTGTAGCAATATCTCGTAAAATAATTATTTCTCATAAAATGTTTTTATAACAACAAATAAATAATGTTGTCTTCTCTCATGTCATACATTTTAAACTCTTAGTTTAATCACAAAATTAAAAAAAAAAAATTATATCATGTTTTTTTTGCATTTTATCCCGTAACCCGGGTAAGGTGTAACACAATTATTTAGTAGTTTTACAGACTTTATTTTTCGGGTTTTTGCAGTTCTAAACTAAGTATTAGTATTATCAAAATATTCCGAGAGGTAATATTTTCATAATATCGTTTAACATAAAAGTGGTAACACTAAAATGTTTAACATAAAAAAAAATCCCGGATGTACCTCTGTATATAATTATAATATAAATTTTATCAGGTATGATGGCTCTGATATGTTAGCAGATCTCCGGATGGAGCCTAGTGGAAAATTTGAAAATTTTTGCCGTATGTCATCTACGGATTTTGAATATTTGTTAGGTAAAGTAGGACCTTATATATCCAGACAAGACACGGTGTTGAGAAAATGTATACCAACACAAGAAAGATTAGCTATGACGCTACGTTTTTTGGCTACTGGAGATAGTTTTAAAAGCTTGTCATATCTATTTAAAGTTTCAACACAAACTGTATCAAGATGTGTACATGAAACGTGTTCTGCATTAATTGATGAACTAAGATATGAAATAAAGGTATTATGAAAATTTATTTCAATTGAATTTGCAAAAAAATATATAATTTAAACAAAATTATTAAGTTATTAACAAATACATCATTAAACAACTTAATAAAATATATTAAAATAAATACATAATAAGAATTGATCACTTGTAGCTACTATTATTTAAAATTAAAAAATATTAATTTAAAACTAAAAAAATTTTTTTTAGTTAAATTTTAGTTAAATAAAATGTGGATCTCAAAATATTATTTTTAGCTTATAAATAATGATGGTTAAATTATCAAATCATAAAAAATTGTTACTTTTATTCACAGTATATTATTAAATTATTAATTGAAATAAATGCAGAACATAAATATTGTATTAATCAACTTAAGTTAATGAACTTAAAATACAAAACGATTTTAGAATTTTTAATTAAAAAAATTAATGTAATTAAATTAAATTAAAGGTAATTTCAAACTTATATTCTATAAGATATTCTAATTTTTGTATCTAAGTGACAGAAGAAGTGTGACCGAAGAATGACTAATGATAAAAATAGCAGCATCTGCGCTTCACCATCAGTATTATATTTTAAAATTCTAATAACTTCCAAAGTATTGTTCCAAAAGTTATTATCGACATTTAATTTCTTAATTATAAACTAGTTTAATATGTATGTTGCCGTTTAAACAAATAAAGTTGACACCCCTGTATAATATATAAAGAATTTTCCGAAAAATTATTTTATAACAAGTATATAAAAACATTTAAATTTGTAACTAACAAAATTAAAAAAAATATATTTTTAGAAAACTTATTATTTTAAAGGTACTTGATTGACTAGCGGTAAAAAATCACTCTGTATAATAATATAATAAAATTGAAAATTTATTTAATTAACTAATTAAAACAAATAGTTATATCAATTAACTAAAACAATTTATATAAATAAATTAAGTATTGATTTTGATCGAATATTCGTCAAAATAAAAAACATAGCCGAGTAGACCGTTCCCACTCATCGCGTATTTGGACAAATATTTATAATCCCTTTGATTCGTGTCACAAATACCGACATCCATCGGGAAGATGACGAATAACGAATGTCGATGAACGAACGCCGAACACTCGTACAAGTACACCGTTCCCACTGCTTGACAAATAAAGACAAATAGCGAATGTTCGGCAAATAGACGAGTAGTGGGAACCCGGCTTTATAGATGTATAGTAGAATAATCATTAAATATTATCAGTAAATAATGTTTTGGACATATACATATAGTAAGACAATTGCTAATAAATCAACACTGATCACTTCATACAGCTAGGTGATGTTATCGTAGGTACTTATGGTATGTCATAAGTATAATTTACTTAAATGTTTCATGTGTAATATATACACTATATATGCAAATAGATACTTTAGTATCTATTTGTTGATTGTTGATAGATAGAGATACACTGATAAATGTATATGGATTACGTTCTACGTTAGATAATATCTAACGTAATTATTTTGTTCTTATATTATAAAACTAAATAATTTATCACAGAACGTATATTATCAAATATTGGACACTATCCTTTAAAACTTGATACAATGTAAATTTTATTTCATACTGGTTTATTATCGGTATAAAAGTATACTATAATGTTATTTATCTACGTTATATTGTATATTAGGACCAGTTACAAAAAGGTGAACATTCGGCTGACAATAGTGAGTAGAGTAATATTAACCCACATATTTACGTGTAACACAAGTAAAAGTCGATGTGCATAAATGTTGATGGAAACAGTTCGTTCTATAACATCGGCCACAACGTAAAAAGAGGTATTTAGACATGAAAATACACTGCTTGAAGTATGTGACTTGGGTGTTTACTACCACAAAAGATTACATATTTGGGTAAACTTCCATGATAAACAAATTATGACACAGCATTTTATTAGACCTGATGACAATAACGTTGATAATTATTATACAGAAATGTCATTTGATTATTTATTTTCGTTAAATGAATAATATGAATATTTATAATTTTTATTTTTATTTTTAAAATCATTACAATAATAAATTTTTGTGCATAATAATAATTATGGTATACGTACTCTAATTTATAATGACCGTAAGCTTAGATGGTAATACAGTATATTTGATGCCTTAATTGATAATGGACTTTTGATTTTCTTACTATAGCATTGTTAATAGTACATTCCAATTCATGTAGTTTTTTTTTTTTTTTTTTTTTAACATTTTCTATATTTAATAAGACTCTGCACTCATCCGCCATTCACCATTCAAGCGAAGGCACTTGCTACAGAAAAGAATAACACATAATAAAACTAACTGACTTACGACAAAGAACTGTACACGGATGACAATTGACACGGAGGTCATCGTTTTGCCATGCTGGGTAGGTAAAGGGGTGAGTAAAGCAGGACGCTAGAGATCAGCTGTCACACGACATAATATAATCAACGATTTGAAAGGTGTTTTGTATGATTGTCTAGGAACAAAGGTAGGTGAGAAAAATATTTATAGACTTGTAAAGGTAAGAGAGATAAGTTCTAAAGATTATCATTATATAAGGTGTATAAAAAGTGCTGATAATAGGGTACTCTCGAATGATGATGATAAGAAAAAAGGTGGAAAAAGTATTTTGAAAAATTACAGAATGAGGAGTATCCAAAAGAGACGTTAGAGGATATCTCGTGAATGAGGAGGTTAAATGTTAAATTTTCAAAAAAAATTATATCAAATAAAAGAAAAATATCTAACGTTTTTGTATAAAAAAAAAATTATGTTGATTTGTTTATTTTTGAAAAAGTTATGGAAGTTTTACGAAAAAAAAGTGAAAAAAATGACAAAATTTACCGATTTTTAAATTTGTAATTTTTTTGGATATTTCCCCCATTTGCGGGGAACGAGAGAAAATTTTTCAATTTTTAAGGGTAATGTCTTCAAGTAGATACGATTTGTGATCTTTTGACGTATTGTTGAAAGAATTCGGTCCAGTGAGAATTGAGAAAAAGTAGTGACAGACACAAAAAAAAAAAATTAACACATCATGGTAAAATTAATACCTTCTCAGCTTCTCATCAAAGCTAAAAAAAAAAAAAAATTACCACCCCATTAGTTATAGTATCTAATCTGAGAAAATATTGAATTAACTAGGATAATTTTTATTTTATTATATATTATGATTACATTTTTTGCAATCTTTAGAATCGAAAAAGAAAAAAATGTGAACTTTTATCTATCTAGAAAACATCTCTTAAGCCATATAAAAAAAGATGTTGCCGATTTGGTTATGACATTTTCAGAAAATAAAAGCCAAGAGCAAATTAAACAGTAAATTGTACTAACAATCAAAATTATAACAAATTATTATTAACAAATTACCAGTCATAAGGGTACTTCAGTTACAGAATCAGTTATAGAACATATATTGATATATAAGAACATTCTATTGTAAGTGTTTCTCCTAGAAGTTATATTCACATAGGTGTCAAGTTTATGTTATGTAAAATGTTAGGTGAAAATATGGAATATTTTAATAGTAATATTGTAATTAAGTTAGGAATTAATGTTGATGGCGTTCCTTCGACTTCTTCCTCCAAATCAAGTTTTGGTCTATTTTATTCTCTGTTGTAAATATACCTCATCTATCAAAACATGTTCTTCTAGTTGGACTATACCATTGAAAGTACAAAAAAACCTAATTCTAGTTTTGATTTAATGAATACTTTCATTATAAAAATCAATAAAATCATTAATAATGAATTAACTAATGACAATGAAAATTTTAAATTTAATATCAAACATATAGTGTGTGATGCCCCGGCTAAAGCCTTTTTATTAAACGTGAAAGGTTATAACGCCTATCATGGATGTAGTTCATGTACAGTAGAAGGTACATTTACCAATAGCCTTAAGGCATACTTGGACATGAATATAAATTTACACACTGATGAAATGTTCAGAAGCAAACAAAACGAGTTTTGTCATAAAGATTCCAGTCCTTTAGAAGAACTATCTATTGACATATCTAAAACAGTTGTTTTAGATTACATGCATAATATTTGCCTAGAAGTAACTAAAAAATTGCTTACATTTTGGATTAAAGGTAATAAATCAGTTCGTTTATCAAATTCTGATAAAGTTTCAGCTGACATATCAATTTAAAACCATATAAATAGTGTCGAATTCGCGCATATTCTTTAACAAATATTTAGCAACAAAATATATTATCGGTTACTACGAAAAAGTATTAAGTGTACCAACAGTAATTTAGGTCAATTTGCGTGCGACGGTTTTTGCCGCCGTTTTTTGTCAATAATACACTGACACGGCCCGTAATAGCGCACTATTTATTTACAGTGAATTAGCATGTTATCCGGTCGTGATTATCAGCTTTCCACTGTCGATCTCATTAGTGTTGACGACAATACTAGTTTGTGTGGTCCGACGTTCGGTAGATAGGACAGGTCAGGGGATGCAGCACCGCAAGACACGTCGGCGACTATATAAACCACTTCATCAGTGACTCACATCCGCCGCACGTGTTGTCGAGATATACCCGCGCCTTATATTGTACATCTGTATTATTTGCATATTTCAGTATTTTTAATATTATTACTGTTATTAAAATAAAACAAACTGACACCACAGTTATACCAAATTTCAATCACGGTTTACGTTTATTATTAATCTTTATATACCGTATCAACTTTTGGCTCCCCGCAGAGGTTATCAACCCGGTGCAGTGTTAATAAAAGAGTCAGCTAGCATTTATTTGACCACTGCTTACTGAAAAAAATTAATTTGAAGTATTCTACCGCTTTAGTAAATTTTGAGTAATTGTTGAAGTCCACTGTTACACTACATTTAAGTATAGCGTATCATAGTTGTAGGCAGCTATCACGTTACGCAATCATAGTTGAAGGTTACGTATAATAACGACTATCACATTGTTGTTATTTCTGAAACGGCCTACGCGTTCGCAAATTTTCTACTATACAATAAGCTTAGTAATTTAAACTCACTTTCTTTGTTTCTAACGGACACAGATAGTTTATTTTTATGAATTTCACTTATTATTAATTAATATTTCAATGTATAATTATTTAAGAAAAGAAAAAGTTCGAATAAAACACCGTGTCCGATTGCTTAGTCAAAAAAATATATATAAATATATATTGTTAACAAAAACAATAATTCCAATTTTTTTATAATTTCTAGTTCGTTTGCCATAGTAATCCGTACTGTTTGTTCACTTAATTAGCTTATATTATAATTTATAGAGAAATACATCTAATTTTCGATTACCACAGTACGATCAGATACATTTTGTGGTTAAAAATTACTTTATATATTATTGTTTTTTTACTGTTTTTTTTTTTAATTAAAGATCACAAAAGTTTTCTTCATTTCCGACTAAATTGATTTAGATTACAATCAAAGAAAATCAGTTATTTTTTTCTTAAAACTACCATAACTTTTTAAAAATGAACAAATTAAAATTAATTTTTTTATATTGAAACCTTAGATATTTTCTTTCATTTGACATAATATTTTTGAAAATCTGACTCTAAAACTGCCCGCTGGAGGAATTAAAAAAAACAATTTTTGCACACAAGTTAAGCTTTTTCAATTTTTAAAAATGTTCCGAAAATATTGATAATTTTATTTAATCTTAACATAAAACTTATATAATAAAGTTCATAAGACATAAGAAGTGAAACTTATTTAAATTTTTTTGCATTTTTAAAGTCGAAGAAGTAACTTTAAAATTTGAATTAACTAAAATTGACAATTTTAATAATCGGCGAAAGCGACGAACGGTTGCCGAATCGGTAACACTTGTATCTTTCACGGTTAGGGTACCAGGTTACAATCCACCAGTGGCAATTAATATTTTGCATTTCTTTTTAAGTTAGAAAACTTTTCAAATCATTTGATTTTTATCTCATTTATATTCATTAAATTGAAGAAATATCAAGAAGTAGAACATTAATAAGAAGAAATTTCTTATTAATGTTAATATTATTTTACTATGTGTTTCTTTTTGTGGCTGCGGTTTATTTTTCCAACCTTCAATTAACCTACTTTTTTCAACGATATGTAAAATGATTACAATTCGTATTTAGCTGAAGATATTACCCTCGAAAATTGAAAAAAAATCCCTTAATCAAATAAAAAGTACCTTAAACAGCTTTATCCATACAAACAATCAAAATGATTCACATCTAATATTTTTAATGTATTTATTGTCGAATTACATATGATATGATAAAAGTATTTAACTCCAAAAGTAAATAATTTTACTTTGAAATTTATTAATTTTTTAAAACTATTTGTGTATATTACTAATAGCCCTTAACATTCCAAATTTTTTGGTAACATGTTGCTATATAAATTACAAATCTAAAAAAAAAATTATTTTTAATTTCACCTGAATTTAACAATCGATTTTTACAATTATAATCAAAATTTATAATTCGCTAAATTGAGTAGATCTTTTTAACAACTTATTTTTTATTTGTCTTTTTAGTTAAAGTAAGTCATTAAAATTAATTCAGTTCTGCATATTTCAATTGAAGAATGTTTTTATACACCAAAGGTTACTAGGAAATGATTACTATGATTTATATTTAAGTGATCTATTACGATAAAAATGCAAAAAAATAATGAGCTTTTCTGATAAATACACTGTAAATAGTAATTATAAAATTTGATGACTGCATATTAATCTTAACAATTTCACATTTTCAACAGCAAAAAGTTATGGTAATAAATTTATTTTTTTTTTTTATTATAAACTTGACACGGCCCGTGTCGCTTCGTTATGCACGATGCCCCGCGACTCGTGCCACCTTTATCAGCCGTCGCCCTACTATGAGTATTTGACTGATCAACAACGCATGTTATACGCTACGGTGTAAAGTCCAGCAAATGCCGCACGGCCGACAACGACCCGACGCAAATGATGCGAGAGTCTTCCTCCCGTTGTGAAAGCGACAACGTCGACCAACCGATCCGCACCCGCGCACCGTCGCCTACAACGCTGCTAACCATTTGCCGTCCAAGGATTTCGCCGGAAATCGCGTCGTCGACGCCAGCAAAAGTGCCGCGATATTATGTGAAGATTATTATTACTGTGTTTATCTTTTCGGTTTGTTTTATTTTTATTAAAATAATGTGTTGTCGCTCATTTGATAAATCGGGTCTCTACCCTCAAAACCAGTGTCGACCACATTTTTGCGACGTAAGTCGTGTCAAACTTTCACTTTAAAGGGCAAATAAAGTAGAATAAAGTAATTACTTTAACATATTGAAAATCAATATCAATAATAATTAGAAAACCATAAATTATAAAAACCCAGCACAGGGGGTTCGTGGCACAGTGGTGACGTGGCTAGTTGGATCAAGTATAATGATGTCTGACAGTGATTAAAATCACTATAAAAAAAAAACGTTTCGGTACAAATCTTTAGATTGTGTTTAATTTTAAAAAATTGGTGGAATATTCCAAAAGCTACATGATCTGCTATTTCCTTATTAATATCATGATTATGATAAAGTATGTCGAATGAAAGATGTATATAAATACTACTTCTCATGAAAAAATTGTATTGATCCATACACTTTTCAAAAAGTTAAAAATGTAAAATACAAAATCGAGAATTGTCACACAAAAATAGCATTCGGTAGCCATTATAACCGTGAAGCAAAATAATTTTTTTTTCCATAATAAAGTATATTACACTAGCTTTAATTTAACATATATATAAAAGTGTCAGACTTTCCAGAACACATTCAAAAGTTAAGTGTAAAAGTAAATTTTTTGTGAAAAAATTGTCATTTTGAATCCCCTCTGTAGTCAAGTAAAGGGTCAGATTTATAAAAAAATATATACCGAATGATAGGTAAAGATATCAAGCATCCATGAAAAAAAATAATATTGATTTGTTCATTTTTGAAAAAGTTATAGGAGTTCTAAATAAAAAAAATTGAAAAAATTAGCGATTTTTAAATATATAATTTTTTTGGGGGATTCCCCCATTTACGAGGAACGAGGGAAACTTTTTCAATTTTTCAAGGTAATGTCTTCGACTATATACGTTTTGTGTTCTTTTGACGTACCGTTGAAAGAAATCGGTTCGGTGAGAGCTTAGAAAAAGTGGTAAAAGACAAAAAAAGAAAAAGAAAAACACATCATAGTAAAACCTACTCAGCATCGCATCAAAGCTAAAATAAAAAAAAATTATAAAAATTTACTATTTGACACATGAAGCATTCTTCACATTCAAAATAATCACTTTACACCAAAATATTTAGTGTAAAAATATGTAAAATTAAATTTTCTAAACATATATTCTTCAATCAATTTCAATAAAATTTAAAACAAGTAGCATACTTAAAAGTATTTATATTCTACGTGAGTATAAAAAGTAAATAATATTATTTATATATTTTCATTATCAATAATATTTAATATGTTCATAGATAACAAAGAATAATATAAAGGAATATTGGAGTAACTATAGAATAAATCAATTTTATTAAAATTATAATTTTAATAATTATTAACCATTATTACTATGAATAAGTGGGTTAATAACATATATATCTGAAATAGCAAACACAGCAGAATCCGCCTCATCTGAATTATAAGAATAAAAATATATTCTTCATGACAATTAAATGTAAGTAATAGTGTCTACATATTTTCATTTTCAATAATATTTAATAATTTATTATACACTATTCATAGAATATTCGAGTAATTATAGAATAATTCAATTTCATTATAATTATTAAGCATTTTTTTATGTATAGGTTAATTGATATTATAGATCTGAAACAGTATAACATTTCACACTCCACCTCAAATATATTTTTATACATATCATCAATTTAATCAGAAGTATAAGACTATTTTTATTATCCTGTATTTAATTAACCATGTAAAATAATAATATTATTATTTGATTTTATTAAAATTATTATTGATTTTTTTAGAATACTAGTTATTAATAATACTAGTTAATAAATAAATAAATACTAGTGATTTTAATCACTGTCAGACATCATATTACTTGATCCAACTATGCCACGTCACCACTGTGCCACGACCCTCTTGTTTTATTTAATTTTTTTGAACAAGTAAAAATAATTTTAGACAATTTTTGTAAATGCTTTTTTTGAAGAAAATATTAAAATCTATAATTTATATCTTATACATTTTTACGCTTATTTTGGTAATTTTTGAAATAATGATCAAAACTAAAAAATTATCCTTTTTTTATTTATTTATTTATTCATTCATTTTTATGGACAAATGTTCAATTTACAATATAATTCAATGATAACAATTATATAATATAATATAATACAATGAAAATAATAATATAAACATAATAAAAGTTAAATAGAGTATATGGTAATAATAAATATAATAATAAATAAATTATTGACTATTTCGTACGGACATTAATATATTTATTTGGTCTTTTAACGCATATTTTTTGGTTGTGTGAAGTATATAAAATAAATAATTGTTTCGGGTGCAATAGTTATTAACTTTAAAGTTAAGTTGGCCTTATATGTATGAGTTGTCAATCTTGTTATTTAATAATTTGGCGAGAACGATTTTATATGATATGTTTCTACGAGATTTTAAAGTATCTAAGTTTAACAAATTTCAAATTTGTTCGTACCCAAAGTGAGGAGTTCGTGAGATATTACATTTATAACATATAAATCTTAGGACTTTATTCTGTACTCTTTCCAATTGATCATTCTGTCCTGCATTGTTATGGTCCCAAATTAACGGAGTATATTCTAATAAGGAACGCACTAGAGAGGTATACAAACATTTAAAAGTAAGTGGATAATGAAAATTGGAACAGTTTCTTTTTATCATTCCAAATACTTCTAAGGCTTTATTTATTATCACTGCTACGTGGGCGTTAAATAACAGTTAGAAATCAAATAAGATTCCTAAATCTTTAATTAATGAGGAACGTTGTAGGTTAATGTCACTTAAATTATAGTTAAAATGAAGGGGATTGTGTTTTTTGAAGTAAGTAACAATTTGGCATTTATCTATAAATATCAGTGAAAGGCCATTTGCAAATGCACCACTCGTTAAATGCAATTAAATCATCTTGAAGTTGTTTGATATCATCAATGGAAATTATAGATTTTAGCATCATCAGCAAATAATAGGATGTTGGAATGTATGATGGAGGATACAACATCATTTATTAATAAATTAAATAGGAGAGGGGAAAGATGATCACCTTGTGGTACTCCAGAAATTACTTTTATAGGCATTGATATAAAATTTTTATATTCACAAATTGGATTCATGATCTAACGAGTTAAACTATGATAGAAGGGGGTCTGCAAAGCCTATTTTATGTAGTTTATTGATTAATAAAACGTGGTTAACTCTATCAAAGACTTTTTCGAAATCAGTATAAATGACATCGGTTTGATGATTATTTTCCAATAATTTTGTTATATGATATTTTATGGTTATTAAATGATTCATAAGAAATGATTTATTATTTCTAAATACATGTTTTTGAGATACCAGGATATTTTTAAACATTGGTATAAGCTTATTATTTACTACTTTAGAAAATATTTTTGGTATGATTGAAATTATTGATATGGGACGTTATTTTGATATTAATGATTTATTTCCTTTTTTGAGAATTGGATTGATATATGTAGACTTCCAAAGAGATGGAAATGATTTGCTAGTTGTATTAAGAATATTGCAAAGGAGATTGTTGGTTAGAGTATGAGTAGAATACCAGGAAACAAGGAAACCTGACAGTGGGATGAGAACGTTCAAAAAATCATAGAAAGTAAGAAAAAGCAATTCAAAGTATGGCAATAGAGCAAAAGGAGAGAAGACTGGATGGAGTATAAACGCTTGTACAAAGAAGCCAAGTATGCAGTAAGTAAAGTGAAGTTTAAGAGGTATGATAAGTTCTATGATAGGCTAGAAACAAAGGAAGGCGAGAAAAATATCTATAGAATTGTAAAGGTAAGAGAGAAAAGGTCTAAAGATTATCATTATATAAGGTGTATAAAAAGTGCTGATAATAGGGTACTCTTGAGTGATGATGATGTGAAAAAAGGTGAAAAAATTACTGAATGAGGAGTATCCAAAAGAGACGTTAAAGGATATCTCGTGAATGAGGACTGGTAGATTTAATTAGAGGGAAAGAGGTATCGGAGGCTGTGCCATCAATGAAAAAGAATAAAGCAGTGGGATCAGATGAAGTAGAAGTATGGAAAATATTATACGGTATTGGCATAAGGTGATTGAAGGAACTTTTAAATAAAATTTTATTAAAAAGGAAAATTCCAAATGAATGGAGGAATAGTATTACGGTGCCGATATTTAAAGATTAAGGAGACATACAGGAGTGTGGAAATTATAGAGGCATAAAGCTTATGAGTCAAAGCATGAAAATTTGGGAAAAGGTATGAGAAAAGAGAATAAGAAATGAAACCAGTTTGGATTTATGCCTGGTAAATCAACAATGGAGCCAGTATTTTGTGTGAGGCAATTAATAGAAAAGTTTACGGAAAAGAAGAAAAAGCTCTGTATGGTATTCATAGATTTGGAGAAAGCGTATAACAGAGTGCCGAGAGAGGTTTTAAAGTGGGCATTAATGAGAAAAGGAGTCCCGAAAAGGTACATTATTATATTACAAGATATGTATGATGGCACTTGTACCAGGGTAAAAAGCGTAGGAGGAGTATCAGAAGGTTTTCGCGTAAAAGTAGGAATGCATCAAGGTTCTGCTTTAAGCCCTTAATTATTCTCTATAGTGATGGATGAAATTACTAGAGAAATACAAGGAGAGGTGCCGTGGTGCATGTTTTTTGCTGATGATATAGTGTTAATATGAGAAAATAGGGAGGAAATTAATCAGAGGTATGGAGATCAGCTCTTAAAGAAAAAGGGTTTAAGAATAAGTAGAAGTAAAACAGAGTATATAGAGTACGAGTTTGACAAAGGAGAAGTCGAGGTAGGTGAAATGAGGAGTGCAATGACAATAATTAAGAATATGATAGGAGAAATGGAAAGATTTAAGTATTTAGGATCAGTTGTGTAAATGAGTAGTGATATTAAGGAAGATGTAAGACACAGGATTAAGTGCGGGTGGTTGAAGTGGAGAGAAGCGTCTGGCGTCTTATGCGATAAAAAATTCCAATGAGGCTGAAAGGTAAATTCTACAAGACTGTAGCGAGACCAGCTATGATGTATGGTTCAGAGTGTTGGGTGGTTGATAAGAAAGTAGAGCAGAGAATGAGTGTAGCAGAGATGAGAATGCTTAGATAGATGAGTGGAGTGACTAGAGAAGATAAGATAAGAAATTAGCATATTAGAGGGAGTATAGGTGTAGCACAATCGTGGATAAGATGAGAGAAAATAGACTTAGATGGTTTGGTCATGTTATGAGAAGAGAAGAGTCGGAAGCCGTAAGAACAGTTGTAGAAATGAATGTTGAAGGAAGAAGAGGTAGAAGAAGACCAAAAAAGAGATGCAGAGATGTTATTGAATGTGATATGAGGACATCTGATGTGAGCGTAGAGGATGTGGTTATCGTGTCAAGTGGAAGTTTAAGATAAGGGTGGCCGACCCCAAGTAGTTGGGATTAAGGCTATGAAGAAGAAGAAAATAGTAATTTGTAACGTTGCAAAAAGTATCTGATTATTTTTTTTTGTCTATTTGTATATATATATATTTGTGTTGAGCCGAATGCGTACTGCGACGGCGTTTATCAGTTAAATAATCATGATAAGGTGTTGTGATTTGTTTGTGCGCGTGCGAGATAGTCAGCTGTGTACTACTTTAGACTGGTTCATGGACGGCATTTATGTGTACATTCACCCTGCTCCTTTCCTATCTTAAACGTCATTTGCACTGCTCACCGCATACATTGTTGCCTTATGATTCAAATTGTTCTTAGTAATTTTCGGCATTGGGTATTTAATTTTTTTTTTTACCCCTACTCTAAAGGTTAACCGTGTTAATTTTATTACCGTGTAAATATTTTATTGAATAGCGTCAGCTAATTTGATTTACAATATTTAATTTTTTTTACATCCTACTGTGGTCCGACAATACAGTGTCTCGCCCAGTGGGTTGGTGACCCTTTCTTTTCAATGTGCCATGAAAGTTATAAATTTTTCGCTGCGGCCAAATGGTTTCACTTTTTTTTTTAATTATTGTAACCTTTCAAATTCATAAACAATAATGAAAAAATATATATTATAATAGAGAATACATTTTAACATAAAAAGAAAAAAAGAACGCTCAAAACATTAAGATTACTAAAATAAATACGATACCCAGTTACGGATGAGACTCATCCTAATACAGGGATCTCGTCCCCGGAATTGGACGATGCCTTGCAAAAGTTAATACATATTAAAAAAAAATATCACACACGAAAAAAATTGCCTGTACGTACACAGCAAAGTACCACTACGGTGGTTTTTAGTGAAGAGAGAGTCAATCTTTTTGTCAAAAAAATTATTGTGGGCCGCCCTAGAACTGCCGTGAGTCATTACATCAGGATGGCCTACGCCATCTTAATAATTCACACCACCACGTTGTGAATCAGCCTGAAAATAATCAACAGCTGATTCGCAATGTGGTGTGGCCCGCTCCCGTTAACCGAATCCCAGAGTGGGAACAGTTAGGGAGGACTGCCAAAATAACTAACAAGACATAAAAACATAACACAAAAATAAGAACCTAAGGCACAGGCCTAAACCAGCGCCTCAGGTTCTCCTGTGCACGGCGGCGTGACTGCCTCTGTCTCAGGCGTTCCGCTTCCTCCTTCTTTAATAAGACGGATTCGGCGAACGCCTGAAGGAGCCCTCGATTCCTAAACAACAGGTCTACCATGGACCCGACTCGGAACATGGACCCTAGTCGAGACTCCAAAGAGTCCCGCTCCTGGGCTCACGCCTCGCACCGGTAGAGGGTGTGAAGAGCGCTATCAGCCTCTCCCGGGCGATCCGAACAATGGTCGCACGTCAGCGCGGCTGCTTTACGAATACGGTGCAAGTACTCGTTAAAGCAGCCGTATCCGGACATCACTTAAGTGAGACGATATGTCATCTCAAAGTGAGTCCGGTCCACCCACCTGTCCAGTCGGTCGGGTCCCATGAGGGACCTGGTCCACTCGCCTCTCGTCGTTTCCTCTGAGAGGCGAGTCCGCCACCGGAGCATGGTCAACTGCCTGAGCGCTAGCCAGTCTTCGGGTTCGAGGGACCGGTTGCGTTCTCGGCGGAGCTCATGCCCAGCGGCACGTTCCTCGGCGAGCAGGTCGGTGGGTGGCAGTGCTATACCCGAGGATACCCGCCGCCACTCCGGATACCGTTCGGTACGCCGAAACTATCCGCATCGCCGCCCGCCTATGCACCCTGAGCAGGGCTTCACGGTTTTTGAACGAATACTCAAGAGTATTCGCCCAAACCGGGGACTCGTACAGAAGGACAGAGTGTACGACGCTGACTAAAAGTATGCGCCGCATCTCTCTCGACCCTCCTAGATTGGGTACGAGTCCCGCCAGGCAATTCATGACTTTCTGGCCCAGCTGGGCCGCACAAGTAATGTGTGGCCCGAACTTTAGACGTTTGTCTATGACAAGGCCCAGATAAGTCATGGAGTCTTTAAGCAGTATCTCCACCCCCAGGACGGCAAGCCGTGGAGGAGTGAACTTGTACCTGCCCTTGAACAAGACCGCTTCAGTCTTGTCCAGGGTGAGGCTCAGTCCGCTCCCCTTCTGCTGGATCCAGGCGATGACTGCGCTGAGCGCGCAGTTCGCACGAGATCCAGCCTCCTCGGACGAGGCGCCTTCCGCCACCACTAGGGTCGTACGCGATGTTCCACAGCATAGGCCCGAGAAGTCAGACCTGTTACGGGAGACGTCCCTCAAGGGTCAGTTCTCGGGCCCGCGGCGCTCTCATAAGAGATGACCCGATCGCTAAAGTACGACCGGATCATTTGCCGGAGGTAAGGAGGCACCCGAAACGCGTCCAGATCTATGAGGATGTGTGACCATCGCACGGAGTTGAACGCGTTTCGGATGTCCAGGCTCACCGACACCCCGAAGCCCTGCTCAGTTTTGACCCTGAAAGTTATGTCTTTTTACCATTGATAATAAAAGCTATATACCTTCGAATATCGTCATAAAAAAACAATTTGCTAACTGTATTTGTAATCCCTTATGTATTATACATGTATATTAAACAATAAAAATGTGTTTATATATATAGTATTGGTGATACGCACGAAAATACGGGTACAAAAACCAAAAATAAAACTATACAGGAATAGTGATGCGGGGGTCAGGTGAGCGGGATGGGGTGAATGAATTACGACAGTCTAGTCTCAAGGCCATAAACGACGGAATAACAAATATATAAATAAGCTTACAAACATACATACTGGTGAAATTAATATAAGCGTGTTAAAAATAATTCACAAGAGATGGCTTATACCTATTAAAATACACATTGATAATCGTATTTTTTTGTAAAATTATCGAAAACTAAGTATAAAAGAAAAAATGTTCTTGTCTATACTTCCAACAATAATATTTCTTAAAAAAGTATATTTTCAAAAGTGCAATTAATAATATCAATAATATCTCAAATACGCATTAAAGGTCAAGTAACTTTATTTTAAAAATAATGGAATAATAGCCAGCATAGATTAGAAAAGTAAAAATTATATTATTTCAAAAAAAAAAAAATTAATTAGGACAGCCGTTTTTAACAGCATAGTTGATTAAAAAAGTATATCCATTTTGAGTAGCTTCTTGGATGGTACCTCTACTCCATAGACAATTATTTTCATGTGCATATTTTAAGCAATGAAAATGACCATTTGCAGCAGCAAGTCTTGTTGTACTTTCGTCCCACTCACAACCATTTTCGTGAACATATTTTAAGCAGTCTAAATGGCCATTTGCAGCAGCTGCACTTTTTGTTCCTCTATCCCATTTACATCCATTTTTGTGTGCATACATCAAACATTCAATATTACCACTAGCAGCAGCTTCTCTAGCTGTGCCTTCGTCCCACTTACAACCATTTTCATGAGCATACATTAGACAATCTAAACGTCCATTTGCTGCAGCCGCTCTCGTGGTACCCTCAATCCAAACACTACCATGATTATAAGCATATTTCAGACAATCTAAATTACCATGCGCAGCAGCTGCAACTATTGTATATTTATCCCAAAGATATCTACTTTCATGAGCATATATCAAGCATTCCAAACAGCCACTTGCCGCAGCAGCTCTAGTTGTAAATTCATTCCAAACACATCCATTTTTAAGGGCATATTGTATAATTTCCATATAACAATGTATAGCAGCCATTGAAGTCGTATCTCTGTCCCACTCGCATACATTCATATGTGCATATCTTAAAATATCTAGATTACCCAATACAATAGCATTTCTCGTGATATTATGATTCCATTTACATCCATTTCTATGTGCATATATTAAACATTCTAGATTTCCATTCTCTGCTGCCATTTTAGTCGTATCTTCGTCCCACGGACACCCGTTTTCATGGGCATATTTTAAACATTCTAATTCACCATTAAAAGCAGATGATACTGTTAAATATTTATTCCACGGACATCCATTTTCGTGGGCATATTTCAAACATTCCAATTTACCATTAGAGGCTGCTGCTTCTGTTGTGCTTTCATCCCATGGACATCCTTTTTCATGAGCATATTTTAAACATTCTAACTCACCATTAAAAGCAGCTGCTTGTGTTGTGCCTTTATTCCACAGACATCCATTTCTATGTGCATATATTAAACATTCTAGATTTCCATTCTTTGCTGCCATTCTAGTTGTATCTTCGTCCCATGGACACTCGTTTTCATGGGCATATTTTAAACATTCTAATTTACCATTAGATGCTGCTGCTATAGTTGTACATTCATCCCACGGACATTTATTTTCATATGCATATATTAAACATTGTAATTTACCATTATAAGCAGCTGCTATATTTGTACTTTCATCCCACGGACACCTATTTTCATGGGCATATTTTAGACATTCTATTTCACCATTAGAAGCAGCTGCTTCTGTTGTGCTTTCATCCCACGGACATTTATTTTCATGTGCATATATTAAACATGCTAATTTACCATTAGAAGCAGCTGCTTTTGTTGTGTTTTCATCCCATGGACACCTATTTTCATGAGCATATTTTAGGCATTCTAATTTACTATTAGAAGCTGCTGCCTCTGTTGTGCTTTCATCCCAGGGACATCCTCTTTCATGAGAATATTTTAAACATTCTAATTCACCATTATAAGCAGCTGCTATAGTTGTCCTTTCATCCCACGGACATTTATTTTCGTGTGCATATATTAGACAATCTAATTTACCATTAGAAGCAGCTGCTTTTGTTGTGTTTTCATCCCACGGACATCTATTTTCATGAGCATATTTTAGGCATTCTAATTTACCATTAGAAGCTGCTGCCTCTGTTGTGCTTTCATCCCAGGGACATCCTCTTTCATGAGAATATTTTAAACATTCTAATTTACCATTATAAGCAGCTGCATCTGTTGTGCTTTCATCCCATGGACATTTATTTTCATGTGCATATACTAAACATGCTAATTTACCATTAGAAGCAGCTGCTTCTGTTGTGCTTTCATCCCACGGACATCCATTTTCATGGGCATATTTTAGACATTCTAATTTACCATTAGAAGCTGCTGCTTCTGTTGTTCTTTCATCCCACGGACATCCATTTTCATGAGCATACTTTAAACATTCCAAATTACCATTTGCAGCAGCATCAATAGTTGTATCTTCCTCCCAATCATATCCACTTTTATAAGCATATATTAAATAATTCAAATTTCCATTTGCAGCTGCTTTTCTCGTCATATTGTTTTCAAATTTGTATATTACATCGTCAAAGAAATTTTGAATCGCTGTATGAGGATAATTTTAATTAATTTGTGAATTATAAAAAATTGTATTATTTTCATTGATATGATTGATAGATACAGAATTCTAATTTTTTTAATAGTATTTACATATTAACTGTATATATTTAACCAAATAGTTCAATTACAGTTTAATTAATTTAATGTTTTTAAAATATATAAATAATGATTTAAGATCAATCTATTTCTTTTAAGTAAATATTTTTTCCCATTAATTAAATATCAATCATAAAAAAAATTTAATATTCGCCAATATAAAATATTATTAAATGATATAAATGAGAGATTGTAACTGAACTTAGAAATTGTTTCTTTGTCAGTCACATTTTTAATACACAGATTTTATTAAATAGAGTAAATTAAAATATATTAGATTATAATATATTTAATATTTACACTAGTTATATTATAGAATTTAACTACTTTTAAATTAGAAAAGAGATGATGCTAAAAATTAATATGTAGCTAATAAACCCAGAAGTATATGAAATTACATAAAGTAAAAAAATAAAACGGCAGCATTGTGGGGTAGTGGCACAGTATGGACGTGGCATAGTTGCGACAAATATAAATAATATCTATTAGTGATATCAAATTGGCAATTACATATTTTCTATCATCACTTAGTTCTGATATTATTGCTACTTAGGATAAAATTATACGGAATATAGTTCTAAATATTTCAATTACAGCATCTATTTAGACACCAAAAGTTACATACAAATTACACTAGTTTACAAATAAAAAAAAAAACCAGCACAGGGGGTCGCGGCACAGTGGTGACGTGGTATAGATGGATCAAGTATAATGATATCTGACAGTGATTAAAATCACTATAAAAAAAAACGCTTCGATGCAAATCTTTAGATACTGTTTTATTTTAAAAAATTGGTGTATTATTCCAAAAGCTACATGATCTGCTAGTTCATTATTAATATCCTAATTAAGATAAAGTATGTAGAATGAAAAAGGGATTATTAAAAAATATTATTTCTCATAAAATAATAATGTTGATCCATACACTTTTCAATATGTCATAACATTATAAAGTTAAAAATGTCTGTTTTCACCATGAAGATAAAATAAAGTCCGAAATTTTTTTTTACCATAATAAAGTATATTACATTAGATTTAATTTAATATATATATAAAAGTGTCAGACTTTCCGGAACACTTTCAAAATTTAAGTTGAAAAAGTTCTACTTTCTACATGCATTTTTTAGATTTGAACCCCCCTCGTATATAGAGAAATGGTCGGATTTAAAAAAACAGTAAGTCAAATGAAAGATGTATATAAATACTACTCCTCATGAAAAAATTGTACTGATCCATACATTTTTCAAAAAATTATAGCATAATAAAATTAAAAATGTAAAATACAAAATCGAAAATTTTCACACAAAAATAGCATTTGGTAGCCATTTTCACCGTGAAGATAAAATAAAGTCCGAAATTTTTTTTTTGCATAATAAAGAATATTACATTAGCTTTAATTTAAGATATATATAAAAGTGTCAGACCTTCCGGAACATTTTCAAAATTTAAGTTAAAAAAATTAATTTTTTGTGAAAAAGTTGTCATTTTAAATCCCCCCTTGTGGGCAGGTTAAGGGTTAAATTTATGAAAAAAATATACCAAACGAAAGGTAATGATATTACGCATCTATATAAAAAAGAATTATATTGATATGTTTATTTTTGAAAAAGTTATGGCACTTTTAAGTAAAAAAAATTAAAAAAATTTCGAAAATTAGCGATTTTTAAATTCGTAATTTTTTTGGAGGTTTACGGGGAACGAGGGAATTTTTTTCAATTTTTGAGGGTAATGTCTTCGACTAGATACAATTTGTGATCTTTTGACGTATCATTGAAAGAAATTGGTTCGGTGAGAGCTGAGAAAAAGTGATAACAGACACAAAAAAAAAAAAACACATCTTAGTAAAACCAATACCTTCTCCGCTTCGCATCGAAGCTAAAATGTTCTGATCCATGATTTATGATAGTCATTTTTTATGTAAAATCGTCTACTGAGTCCGAAAATGAAGTCCAAAATTCAAAAAGTAGAACAATTTTTACGTTAATGCGAAATTAGCGTTTTTCGTGTGCCGTGAAAAAGTATAATGAAAACACTTTTTCGCGAAAATTTACCACAACCCCACCAAACTGTAAAATTAACTCAATTTAAAAATATTCTAATAAAATTCTATGAAATAACCTTAAGTTATTTAAAAAATCGAAATTTTGTTTTGTAAAGTAATATTGTGAGTAATTTTTCAATATTTTTTTCTATATTTTACAAAATTAAAGCATCGAATTAAAAAACTCTGATATTAGGAAATTAGTTTTATTTTTCAATCGCGCATAACTTCTTCATTTTTTTTATCAATATTACAAAATAATATATAATGTTTTTTTTTATGTATTAGAGTATAATGTCTATTAAGTATATTGTTGATAAATTTATTTTTTATTGGTGTATTTTACGTAAAACTCTGAATTTTTTCTGACATTTTGAAAAAAATGATAAAAATTTTGAAGTAAATTCGTAAATAGCAAACGAGAAAAAAGTCAGATAAAAAATTACTAAAGATAAAAATTATAGGTAATTTAATATTGTTTAATTTTATGTAAAAAAATGAAAATCCGTTGAATGCAATTAAAGATATTTAGAATATAATGAAAACACTTTTTCGCGGCACACGAAAAACGCTAATTTCGCATTAACGTGAAAACTGTTCTACTTTTTGTATTTTGGACTTCATTTTCGGACTCAGTGGACGATTTTACATAAAAAATGACTATCATAAATCATAAGTCAATTTGTTGTAAACTAGTGTTATTAGTATTTCTATTAAAATGATTTATTATATATAAATATAAAAATATTGTAAGAGATTTAAAAAAATGTTGGGCTTAATCTAAAAATATCCACTTTTTTTAAATCTTAATAAAATTTTCTATTTAATGATATCAATTTCAAATTTGCAATTCGAACTAAAAGAAAGGTAAAAAATTCAACTTAAAAGTATCAAAAAAATGGTTTAAACATAACATTTTTAATCCAAACTTTGTATCGATTATTTTTAGCATATTAAAAATCAAAATCAATGTTTAAATGTAATTACTCATTTTATAAATGAGTAGTAATCTCAAAAAAAGAAGCAATGGTAATTAATATGTAATCTAATTACATATTATGAAATTAGCATAAAAACGTGGTTTACAAAGTATAGTTTGGTCTATACTGATTAAAGAAAGTTTAAAGAAAGTCATACGATTTTACTGTGTAATTCAGCATTAAAACGAATTTTATACTCTTATTATTTGTGGTGATATTTAATTAAAAAAACAATAACATAATGAGGTTGCGGAACAGTGTGGACGTGCCACAGTTAAGACTATTATATATGATATCTGACAGTAATTAAAAAAACTATCATAAGAAATGCTTCCATGCAACTCTGTAGATAGTGTTTAATTTTAAGAAATCAGTGGACTATTCCAAAAGCAAAATAAACTCGTATTTCCTTCATTATTCCTAACTAATAGTTCTATGATTTATAAATATAATATATAAATAAATATCTATTATAGTAATTCAATGCAGTATGAAATTTGTTGATATTATTAAACAACACACGCTGGGTACAGTAATATTATTTAAAATAACAGTTTAAAATATATTTTCATATATGTTAATTTTTTAGGCTATTGAGAGCTCTTATGGTTTTTTCTACCGAAATGTTATCTACTCTTTGTTCAGTTATGTGACCATTCATTATGGCAAATCGCTATTTAGTAACTCTTCAAAATACATAGTTTCACTGTATATCAATTTAAGTAACCCATTGCCGTTTACATCTCATTATCTGGGTGATTTTTTAAAAAATCTGAGTGATAAAAATTAAATGAATTTCGATTTTTTTTTCTACCTCAAAAAGAATTGATAAAAATGTATGTAAAAATTGCCAATTGATGGAGGGTTTTGAACCTCGTACCTCAAGCGTGGAAGAATGAAGTGCAAACAACTCAACGACCGTACATCACACACGTTAGTCGATTAAAAGAACAATTGAATCTAGATCGAAAATTCAGAGTCGTTTTTCTAAACGTAGGAAACAAAATATTCAAAATAGTTTAAATTAAATTAAATTTTATTAGATTCATGAAAATTTTACAAAAATTGGTGAACTGATTACCGTGGAAACCCCTAGTAAGGTATTTTAATATAAAAAAATTATAGAAATATACAATCAAAAATTCAAAATATAAAATTCAGAATTTATTAATTCAAAAATAAAATTTTTGTAAATATGGTAGCAATTTTCACCATAAAATCTATCTAAGTTTCAATATTTTATTTTTTCATATTAAAGTATATTACATGAATTTTATTTTAAGATATATATAAAAGTGATTAGTAATTTATTATTATAAAAACAATTTAGAAATTTATAAGTCTCTTTTTTGTAACCCTTTTTTTTGATATATTTCATAATAACTTGCTATTGCAAACAAATTTTAATATTACTAATTAAAACAAATTTTCTAGGTACCTTCGCTTACTAGCTCCAGTGGCAGATTCAAACTATTTCGGAACTATTTTGTGATGGGGTTCAAAAGAAAGTACTCTATTATTTCAAGCCTATTTAAACCCAATGAACTGAAAGGTACAGTAGCACAACAAATCCAAACCACCACACAAAAACTCATAAATATTATTTTTATGCATTAATTTTTGTTATTTTTAACCTATAAATTATTTACCAAGTATAAATACTTAGTAAAAGTTGTGTAAAATAATGAAGTGCTGCGCGACCCAATATTGTTATCAAGCAACGCGCGTATGTACAGCATTGTACATTTAAATTATAAAGTACTTTAACTTTTTTACTATGTTTGACTAACTTTGTTTTTTCGTAATCAGAGTAAAAAACAATTCGAAAAAATTTTCGGGAGCTGAATTCTGTTTATGTCAAAAAAAGAACAAATGAAGTAAAATATATTAAAAATAAAAGTAAATAATATACAAATACAAATTTAAGTCTCCGTATAGAATATGTCGAGACTTATTTTATCTAATAAATTCAAATATTTTAGTCTTTCTTATTTATTTAAATAAAAATACATATTTATTTAAAAATAAAAAACAGTAGTACAGTAGGGTCGTGAACAGTATAGACGTGGCATAGTTGAGACAAGAATAAATGATATCTGACAGTGACTAAAATCACTATCATAAAAAACGTTTCGATACAAATCTGTAGATAGTGTATAATTCTAAGAAATTTGTGGCTTATTCCAAAAGCAAAATTAATACCTATTTTTTGTTCTACTTTTTAATTTGTAGTACATAAAATAAGCATTTTATTATATATACATATATTTAAAAGACGCAGTATTTGCTGGAACACTTTTAAAACTTAAGTTGAAAAGATGAGTTTTGTATTAAAGCTGTTATTTTTAAACCCCCCTATAGGTAAGTAAAAGGTCAGATAATCTTAAAATTTATATCAAATGGAAATACAAAAGGTGCTTACGTAAAAAAAATGATTTTGGTTCCTTCATTTTTCAAAAAGTTATGACAGTATTAAATACCAAAATAACATTTTTTGTTTAAATTTAACAGTAATTTGCACATAGAAGCTAGGTCGCCGGAACAATTTTTTTATCTGATAGTACATTATGTAAGCTTTAATTTAACATATGTTTATAGGATGCAGTATATCCGGAACAGTTTCAAAATTAAGTTAAAAAGTACTAATTTTTATACGTATGTATCAAGTTTTGAACGCTCACTGTATAAAGGAAAAATGTCCAATTTAAATAAAAAGTATATTAAAAGAATGATTATATATATTTTTTCTAAATACAATATATATATTATATATATTGTATTTAGAAAAAAATTTGTGTTGATACAAACATTGTTCGAAATGCTATAGTAATTTAAAATTGAATATCGAAAATTTTAACACAAAAATAGCATTTTTTTAACTACGGCAGCCAATTGCACGTAGAAAATAAGGTGTCAAAACAAATTTTTTGTTTTCAATTTCTATTGTTTAACATAACCTTTAATTTAACATATGTTAAAAGGACTCATTATTTCTCAACATTTTCAAAAATTTAGTTGAAAAAGTTGACTTTTGTGATAAAGTTACTATTTTGAATCCCTTTTTGTGGGCAGGTAAGAGATCAGATTTTCAGATACGAAATGGAAAGAAAATATCTAAGGTTTCAATATAAAAAAACCAGCACAATGGGGTCGTGGCACAGTGGGTATGTGACATAGTTGGGTCCAGTATAGATTTAATATGACAGTGATTAAAATCACTATCGAAAGAAACGCTTCAATGCAAATCTGTAGATGATGTTTAATTTTAAGAAATTGGTGGATAATTACAAAAGCGACATCAACTTCTATTTCATTAATTATACCCAGATTAGTAATTCTTTTAATTATAATATATAATTATTAAAATTAATTGTTTTCAAATTATTATTGATTTTTATTTTTAATATGTTAAAAGTAAACATTTTGAACCTACTTTTTTTTGTCGTTTAAAGTGAAAGTTTTAATAAAAAAAAAAGAATTTATTACCATAACTTTTAGCTCAACTTGGAAGTTTGAAATTGACATTATTAAATAGAAAAAATGGTATTGTTAAGATTAATATGCAATCTGGAAATTTTATAATTACTATTTACAGTAATTTTTTTATTTCATCCATTATTAAATTCAGGTGAAACTTAAAATAATTTTTTTTTTTAGATTTATGATTTATATAGCAGCATGTTACGAAAAAATTTGAAATGTTATAGATGGTAGTAGCACACACAAATAGAGTAAAAAAATTAATAAATTACAAAGTAAAATTATATAATATCGAATCTAATTCGATAGTAAATACTTTAAAAATATTAGAAATGAATGATTTCAAAAGTTTGTATGGATAAAGCTGATTATGCTACTTGTTATTTGATTAATAAATTTTTTTTCAATTTTTAAAGGTATTATTAACAACTAAATACGAATTGTAATCATTTGACGTATCGTTGAAAAAAGTAGGTCTAGTGAAGGTAGGCCAAAAAAAAACGTAGCCACAAAAAGAACCCCATAGTAAAATAATATTAACATGAATATAAATTTCTTCTAATGAGGGGAGACTATAGTGATAGGATCATTTATATTTATTGAAGTTATGGAATATAAATAAGATAATTATCAAATTATTTGAAAATTTTATTCTAACTCAAAAAAAAAAAGCAAAATATAAACGGCCACAAACGGATTTGAACCTCGTACCTTAAGCAAGAAAGACTCAAGTGATACCGATTCGGCAACTGTACGTTGCCTTCATGGTATGATAAAATGGGCTATTTAAGCTAACTCAAATTTAAAAATTACTTTTTCGACTTAAAAAAGCAAAAAATGTTTAATAAATTTAATTTCTTATGTCTTATGAACTTTATTCTATGTCAATTAAATTATATAAAACCCAGTACAGGGGGGTCGCGACACAGTGGTCACGTGGCATAGTTGGATCAAGTATAATGATATCTGACAGTAATTAAAATCACTATAAAAAAAAAAACGCTTCAATGCAAATCTTTAGATAGTGTTTAATTTTAAAAAATTGGTGTATTATTCCAAAAGCTACATGATCTGCTAGTTCCTTATTAATATCTTGATTAAGATATAGTATGTCAAATGAAAAAGAGGTTATTAAAAAATATTTGCCAAATGATAGGTAACGACATCAAGCATCTATAAAAAAAAATTATATTGATATGTTCATTTTGGAAAAAGTTATGGCAGTTTTTAATAAAATAAATTGAAAAGATTTCGAAAATTAGTGATTTTTAAATTTGATTTAATTTTTTTGGAGGTTTCACCCATTTACGGGGAACGAGGAAATTTTTTTCAATATTTGGGGGTAATGTCTTTGACTAGATACGATTTGTGATCTTTTGACGTATTATTGAAAGAAATCCGTTCGGTGAGAGCTGAGAAAACAGACACAAAAAAAAACACATTTTTTTTTTTAATTTTATAGCACATCTAATAAGATTTAATTTGATATATGTTTAAAAGACGCAATATTTCCGGAACATTTTCAAAAATTAAGTTGAAAAAGTTATTTTTTTTTTAAAAGTTACTATTTTAAATCCCCCCAGTGAGCAGAATAAGTGTTAGATTTTCAAAAAAAATTATATCAAATGAAAGGGAAATATCTAAGGTTTCAATTCAAAAAAATATTATTTTTATTTGTTCATTTTTGAAAAAGTTATTGTAGTTTTAAGTACAAAAAGATCCCGATAAAAGGTAAATTTATCGCAAACATTACATTTTTTTTTAATTTTCGACAGCTATTTGCACATAGAAGATAATATGTCAGGACAAATTTTTTTTTTTCATTTGATAATATATAATATAACCTTTGATTTGATATATGTTTAAAGGACGCAGTATTTCCGGAACATTTTCAAAAGTTCAGTTGAAAAAGATCTATTTTTTTTACAATATTTTAAGTTTTGAACGCCCCTTTTATATGGGGAATTTGTCCAATTTTAATAAAAAGTATGTCAAATAAAAGATCTACTTATAATATATTTAGAAAAAAAAAATTGTGCTGATACATACATATTTGGAAAAGTTATAGCATTTTTAAGTTGAAAATTTAAAACACAAAAATAGCGTTTTTTTAACTACGGCAGCCGTTTAAATGTAGAAGATAAAGTGTCTGGGACTAATTTTTTTTCGTGTTTTTATCGAAATTAGTACTTTAGTATTGTTATAGTAATAAAACGTTAGTGAAGTGTGGTTGATACACAGTGTGGACGTGGCTTGAAACAGTTATAGATGAAATTTGACAGTGATTAAAATCAATATTATAAAATACACTTCAATGCACACCTGTACATTGTATATTATTTTCAAAAGAATTTTTCCCTTAATGAATCTATTTGTACAATTAGTAGGTTAGACTCAAAGCTAATTTTCAAAAATAAATGTGAAACGATTAACAAAAAATACATGAACTCATATGAACAATCAATAAAATTAATAAACGTAAATAATGAAAAATAAAATTTACCTTCATTAATTACCAAATAATGTATTATCAACAAAAGTGATATTAATTGCCGATTCTATAACAAAAAAAAAAACAATATTTTAGATTTCAGTCAAGTACTCCAGGTAAAATTAACTACTCACATTCATTTTTTTCGTTAATTTAAGTGTTTAATTCTAAATAACTACTGACATTATTTATTTCTACTTTCATGTTTTTATGCATAAAAAGAGTATTTTAAGTCAATATTAAAAAATATAAAATTATTATTTTTAGTCGAACTATTTATATACATGTAAGAAACCATAGTTAAATCAATATTTCATGAACACTTACTAGATTTAATACAAAAAGGCGAATTATTAATACAAATACAATTTCATTTTTTATTTCATCATTATAATATAAGATCAAACTGTACTTTAGGAATGTAATAATAGTAAAAATAATATTCATAATATAGGCCAGTCAACGAAGGAAAAATGGCGGAAAAAATTCCCAACCAAATTTTTTTTTTTTTAAAGTTGAATTTATTTATTTATTTATTTACTAAATTAACGCCCCAAAGGGCAAGAGTACAGTTAATAAAACTTAAACTAGACATCAATAAATTTAGAGCATACAATTAATTATAAAAACAAACAATATAAGTAAAGATTCTTAACTATATAATTGATATTTTTATTATATCTAAAGAATTAAAAAAGAAATCCACTTTCTGACTAACTTCATTACATTCTAATAATATACGACTGACCGTAGCAAATAGATTATAGTTCTGTTGGACAGGAGAAACATAAAACATCGTTTGAGACCGTAAATGAACTGTAGGAACATTAAAAGGAATAATATCAAGAAATGCTGGACAGTCAATTTTATTATTTAATAAACTATGGATCCAACTAACGTCAAACATCTTCCGCCTAAGATGTATCTTAGGTAATAAGATAAGATAAGATTAGGTAAGATGTAGTCTAAGTATTTTCATACTTAGAATGGTTAGTCCAATATCTGAAGCTACTACATTTAAATCAACTTCATTAATAGCGTATTTTCCTACTTTTACTACTAACATACGTAGTGTAATAGTAGGGTAATATAGAGGATTTTGGCTCCCCCCGCTTCACCCACTCTCCACACCTCATGTGGTGATGGTGAAGAGGTGTGGAGGAGGGGGGAATAAATCCAACGTAAACTAACATAATGCAATGGGAGAGGGAACGTCGAAACCTTTTTTTTTAACACGACCGGCCTACATGCGGACCGCCCCGGAACTACCGTTAGGTATTGCCTCAGGGCGGCCCACGCCGTCTCTAAAACTCACACCACCACGTTGTGAATCAGCCCGAAATTAATCAAGAGCTGATTCACAACGTGGTATGGCCTCCCCCGTAAGCCGGATCCCAAAAGTCGGGATCCGTTGCCCGGGTTGCACCACGTGGAGGTGGGGGCAGGACTTTGCGAAGGGGGCATAAAATAATTCACAAACATATAAGCACACTTATACCTAAGGCACCGGCCTAAACCAGCGCCTTAGGTCCTCCTGTACCGGGCGGCGCGGCTGCCGCTGCCTCAGGCGTTCGGCTTCCTCCTTCCTTTTCAGGACGGATTCCGCGAACGCCTGGACGAGCCTCCACGCCTCCCGGCTTCCCAACATGAGGTCCACCAAGGACCCGACGCGGATCGTGGACCCCAGACGGGACTCCAGCGAGTCCCGTTCCTGGGCCCACGCCTCGCACCGGAAGAGGNGACGCGGATCGTGGAATATCGAAACCTAACGTAAACTAACCTAAGGCAGGTGAGGAACCTCTCCTCTTCCACCAAGTCATATGATAGGGGGGGTAATGAAACACGACGTTAACTAACACAACTTGTCGCGCACCTAAATTATGCTCTGCCATATAGTATATACGTAATATCGTTTTTTTTGACGAAAAAAAAAAATGCATTTTCCAGGTAAGCTATACGGTTACGGTGAAAAGTATGAATTTTAAACGTCGAATCCGTTATTTTGATATGCGACATGCATATATTTAGATAAAGTCAGTACTTAAAATGTTAATTTTACCTAATTTGTAAAAAAAAAAAATTAAGTTCGAAACATTGTGTGCCAGATGGCTGTATTGATGATTATACTATAGCACTCGAGATAAATACAGCAGATGGCTTAACGCGGCGTCGATGTCGCCGTCAATTACATTAATTGTTAATATACGATCTATAAGTTTGACCGTTATTGGTATAGTGAATAATAAATCAGTATTTTTTTTTTTTGTCGACAATATATAATAATGACGACTGTTAGAGTTTTCTTATAGCAAAACACATTTTTAAATAAATACTACTAGTACCGCCGCCGACGGCGACGACGACGATAATAATTGCTGGAACATATATTCTAATGATTGTAATATTATTATTATAATTGTAATACACTTATCGATTAATGTCATACATATTTTTGTCTGAATTATTACACGTATCCCTCTCAATGTTATAAATGATTACTGTATTTAACAACTTTAATTAATTATTTTTAATTAAGTAATAGTCTCGACTGGTCGGATTGCATTCTTGTTCCGTCAACGCATTAGAGACGGTAGACAGTCATAATTTTTACAAAGGCGTCTGTTTTAAATCCTAATGACAAATATGTATAAACATTACACTTTAATTTTCACGCTATTTTAAATAACTATATTTAACTATAATAATTAAAACGTATATAAATTGCATGCATGTCTGCATGAAGGAAAACTGAATTTTTTGTCTTTGNACTGGTGCAGCGGATAATATAGTAACAAACCGTATTTATAAAGACGTTACTAAAGATTTTATTCACTCTTTGATTAAGCATTAATAACGGCTCGCTAAAACATTGCTTAAAAATATTCTGTTAAATGTATACAAGTACTAGTATTTTTTTTATTTAAATTTAAAATCGAATAACAATGGCTGATGTACATTTTACTGGTGCTGCACAAGGTAAGTTTTTATATTTTTGATTGAATATTTCGATATTTTCGATACACAAATTGTTTTATACACATTTTTTCATAGCCACCTCTTCCGCAACTGTTCTACACCATCATTCGATTAAACGTAAGGCTAACAACAGTAGGGTAAAATCGAAAAGGTTGCGTATACAAATGCCGGACGCGAAAAATTTCATCGAGATTGATTCCGCATTGGAGAGGGGAGCCGTTTGGTTTTATCGGAAAAACGTGGAAAATTTCGCGAGCTATCGAGATTTTCTACGTATTGTTAAATCTGAGCTGGTTGCCAAACTCGGTGGAATCGCAGCTGTCGGCCTATTAAATATAATCTCAAATTGGAGGCTTCTTACGATATACCGCGATCGGAAGCACCGCCCAAGGACTGTGCCTTCAAGACACGAGCTAGGGTGTTTTTGTCCGACACGGACATTGTAGGTGCGGTCAATGACGATTTCGAGATTATGCTCGCTGAGGAAGACGTATACTCAGGTAGGGGTAGCGGATTCACGCTAGCGCATATCGACGGACTCATGCTCAGCGTATACAAGTATACGCCCCTCGCCGGCTCATCATATATTCCAGTCCCACCCGAAATTTTCCATAGAAGAGCAATCATCAACCCACAAAACATCGATCAGTCCTGTTTCAAGTGGTCCACTTTGGCGAGACACATTGGGGTTAATAATAATACGCGTGTTAATCAAAAATATTTTAACGAGGAACACAGGTATGATTTCACAGGATTGACGTCCCCCACACCTGTGTTCCAAATTAAAATATTTGAACGGCTTAACCCTAACGTGTCCGTCAGCGTGTACGGCTTGGAACGGGACGACGTTAAGATGAAGTGGTCGGTGTATCCACTAAGAGTCGCCGACCAAGAACAACAAAATCATTTTGACCTGTTGTATATCGGTGACTCTAACAAGTATCATTACGCGTACATTTCAGATTTTTCGAGGCTCGTGCGCAGCTAAAAAACTAAACACAAATGTCGCATATACACTTGCACACGTTGCTTCACTAGCTTTGATGATCAACCTAAGAAACATATTCTTCGAGGTAAACAAGCGTTGGAGCAACACAAGTTAATATGCGGCAAGAATAAACCAATTTTACCTGTTATGCCGGCAGAGGGTAGTAAGGTTGCCTTTGACGCGTGGGTAAAGACGCAACGGTTACCGTTTGTCATTTACGCTGATTTTGAGGCCTTTCTGGAGCAAACAGACAATCGTATAGGTGCCTATACTAGGACTGTGCACACACACCATCCTATGAGCTACGAGTTCATGGTAAAAACATCGGACGTTGTGCCCTCCGAGCTTCTCGAACTCTACGGTATACCGCAATCACCGGTAATATACCGTGGCTCTGAGGATCGCGAAGAGGTCGCCAAGGCATTCGTAATGGCTGTAACGGAAGTGACGCGCAACATTTCCAAATTGTTGCGTAAAACTAACGTTCCCATCCGAATGTCTGTCGATGATGTGCGCAGGCATGGGGAAAAAATGCTATGCGACTTATGTCGCACGGCATTCAAGGATTCCAACCCCAAAGTCGCAGACCACTGCCATCTATCGGGCCGATTCAGAAAGACGTTGTGCAATGCGTGTAACCTGTAAGTGAAGACTGTTAACTTTGTGCCGTGCTTCTTGCACAATCTTTCGGGTTACGACGCGCATTTCATCGTCACTGAATTGGGGTACGACGACCAAAGGATTTCGGTCATACCGAATTCCGAGGAGAAGTATATTTCGGTCACGAAACACGTGTCCAATAACTTCTCCATACGGTTTGTCGACACCTTCCGGTTCATGGCCTCCTCCCTGTCCACCTTGGCCGGTAACCTAATGACACCCGATTTCGTTAAATTCCGGGAAACGGCCAAGGTGTTCCGCCCGGAAGATATGCCGTTGGTTACGCGTAAAGGCGTATACCCTTACGAGTACACTGATAGTTGGGCTAAATTGGACGAAACGATACTACCACCCCGCGACGCTTTCTATAGTCAGTTGAATGAGACGAATATCGATGACGACGACTATAGACACGCCACAGAGGTGTGGAACCGTTTCAGATGCTCAACCCTCGGTGAGTACAGCGACCTATACCTAAAGATCGACGTGCTGTTGTTGGCTGACGTTTTTGAGAACTTTCGCGACATCTGTACTACAACCAGTGTTGAGAAGGAACTGGTTCCAAAAGGAACGGATTCCTGGAACGAGTTCTTTTTGAAGGAACGAAGCTAGGAACTGCTTCCTTTTAAAATAAAGGAACGAGGAAAATGAACAAATTCCATTTTTTAAGGAACGTGAACGGAAATTACAGTTCCTAAAAATTTTTATAAACATGTTTTAGTGTAGTTTTCTTCGTATCTAGACATTAAAATATCAAGGTATTTTTAGTTGACTTTTGACAATGGAAGTCCCCTATACACCCAGCCGAGATCGTAGGCTGTTTAAATGAATCAATTGACTATAGAGTTATTATCACATGTAGGTATACAGTAAATATTTAATATATGTGTACATATATTAAATAATGCACCGAATATTATCGTCGTTTCTTGTTAACTAATATATGTTAAAGGTTTTGGGTTTTCTGATTTATTATTTCTAACTTATATGTAGACAATAGACATTGGTCGCGTTGACACAAGTCGTTAGCATTTACTACCTGCTTATAAATATAATTTTCGAATACTTTTAGATAAGGAATACTACAAATTTGTTTTGTATTCGACTGCTGATGAAAATCATTGATGACCGTTATCATGATCTCATTGCCACAATTTTTTAAATANTGAACTGGTTTACATAGTCGCCGACGTGTCTCGCGGTGCTAAACCCCCTGACCTGTCCTATCTACCGACCGCCGGATAAGACAAACTTGTGTTATCGTCAACACTAATGAGTGCGACGGTGGACAGCTGATAATCACGACCGGATAACGTGCTGATTCACGGTAAATGAATAGTGCGCTATTACGGGCCGTGTCAACTCTCCCTCACTAAGCTGTGCAACCGGTGAACTAAATCTCAGTCGATACAATTCTTTTCTCTTCCTCTATATCCTCTCCTTTATAGCATCGCTAAGTCCCTTTCGGGAAAACGGGCTTTCTGAGGTGTTCACTATCGCCTTCCTCTAAGGATAGCGGGTGACACTCCCAGGAGGAGATAGGATTGGGAAGGAAAGAGCAAGGAGATCTAGGGAGCAGATGGTGGTATTGGATTGAGGAAGGTCTCGATGTCCTCACTGAGATGGTCGGGAGATGGCACTACTTCTCCCTCTACCGGGTCCTCTATGTCCATCTGAATGTCTTCCGTAACAATACTGGAGACTTCCGATGGTGGTTTGGATCTCGGCATGGGGGTAGGTGGCTTTATCCGTTCTCCCGACTTCTTTTCCAACCTGTGTTGCTGGGAAGAGGGTAAGGACTGAGCTTTCAATTCCTTCGCTAGGCGTTGCAGCTCCTTCCTCTTTTCCTTGCGATACTCCACCATTCGCTGCTTCTTCCTCTCCTTGTATGTCAACCCGGTGGATGATTGGGCTGACGACGTGGAGCCGGTGGCCGACTTTACGCTGCCAGAGGGAGCCCTTGATGGTGGTGAAGCTCTGACGTTCACAGGCACTCTGAACGTGTGCGTATGCTGCTGCCGGGGCACCGGGTGGCGTGTATGCGGATGAAAAGGTGGCCGGACTGCTGGTGGAATCGGTGCAGGCGGTGGCGTCGGGACGCCCGCAAGGCAAGTTTGCCAACCTTGCACAAAAGCGGCCCATAGTTCGGGATGCCGCTGCAGATCATGCTGGGGCATAGTCCAAACTTGTTGAACGGACGGCCGAGCGTTATTATAGATTTATATGTTAACTTTATGATTTAATTTAGTTAAGTTTATGGTTTAAAGAAACGTGTTTTGCTTGGTGAGTGCTTTGAGCGTTGCTCGCACAATTTATTGTTGGATCACTCTTTAGCCATTTTTTCTTTATTTGGTCATTATAATTTGTTTGATTTGATTAATTAGTTTGGTTTTTATTGTTTGAATATTTTGTTGGTTTTACCTTTATTGGTTAGTTTTTGTCTTTGGTTTTTTTTTTCTTTTTTAATGTGATTGTTTAATCACTTTAGATATTTAAGTAATTTTAGTTGGTTCTACTTGTCTATATAGTCTTTATTGTTTTATAATCATCTAGATTTCTTTTAGCGGTTTATTATTTTATAAATTTTTATTTTTTCACATTTTATTATTTATCATGGCTGATGATAAAAGAGACTTAAGAGCTAAGCAACCGGCCACAGCTAAAAGAGATGCTGCTGCTGCTCATATTCACTGCATTTATAATTTGGCTGTGGGTGTAAAAGAAGACCTTGATTAATACAGACATTTAAAGGTAGCTATAGGTGATCTAGACTATTGGTGGATGGCCTTTTCTACTGAAAATGATGCATTGTTGGATGCTATGATAGACTTGGGGGAGATTGATGAATTTTCTCATAACACAGAATTGGCTGTGCATAAAGAAATTATTGAAATTAAAGCTATTGCCCTTAAAGCTGATTCAGCATGTGTTCCTGTGCTTTCTGCAAACTTATTAGACCAATCATCTGTTGAACTTCCTGTGCACCCCCCTGTCTTGGATGTGCTTTCTACAATGTCCACTAATGCTGGTTCTGAAATAGTTGCATGCAATTCTCAATTGCCCAATATGCCTTTACCAAAATTTGATGGCGAACTACGCAATTGGCCAGATTTTCGTGACCGTTTCAAGTCCTTAGTCGATAAGCGACCTACACTCTCAAATGTTGACAAATTCTATTATTTGTTAAGCTGTCTCCAAGGGGATCCTTCTGAATTGTTAAAAGGGATTACTGTATCAGATGAAACCTATGCTATTGCTTGGTCTACATTAGTTGATCAATATGATAAACCTAGGCAACTAGCTGCTAGCATTATTGAGAATATGTTAAAAGCCTCTATTGGCACTTCAGAAAATGTTGCTAGCCTTAGACAGTTTATTCATACATTTGATGAAGGTATTGCTACACTATTGTTCATGAGGATACCAGATCTCGGTTCATTTCTTCTATTTTCTATTGCAGCTCGGTGTTTACCTACTCATAGTAGACGGTTATTTGAAGCAGAAAATAGTCTAGAGTATCCAGTGGTTCAGGATATCATTAAATTTGTTAAAAATCGAATCAAAATTTTAGAAAATGCCGGGATAGCTCCTTCTAATTCAGGGGTCTCTAAAAAACCAGTTGGTAATTTTGCTCAAAAACCGAATTACCAGTCACAGCATGAGAAACGTGTTGCTTTCCTTTCAACTGCTAAGGGTCAGCGACTCCCTATACAAAAACCAGCCAGCTCAGGTAAATGTTTTTGCTGCTCAGCTTACCATGTTCTTCAAGATTGTCCACAATTTAATAAGCTGTCTATTGATGAACGGTATGATATTGCTTGTAAACATAGATTGTGCCTTGTCTGTTTTGCTGAGGGTCATATGTCGTATAAATGTCCATCAGCATGCTCGATCTGTTCTCGCCGCCATCATGCTCTTTTACACAGAGACCAGCCTCGGTCACAACCAGTTGCTGGACCATCTCAAGCAGCCATGTTAGGAAGACTTCAAATACCTTCTATACTATTAGGTACTGCCATAATTTGTGTTCAGGACATAGCCGGTAATAATCACTTAATTCGAGCTTTAATTGATCCTGGCTCTCAGATCACCGCTCTAACATTAAATTGTTGTAACAAACTCGGCTTTCGGCCATCTCGTTGGACTATTCCTGTTACTGGTTTATCTAGCCAAAAGATTCCAGATATAAGTGGTTCTGTAGAAGTACTTATTGGACCAAAAGATATACAGTCTCCTAAAATTAAAATTAAAGCGTGGGTTATTAGCTCAATAACTACAAATATGCCATCTCAACAGTTACCATCTCAAGTTCGGGCTGAATGTAAACACTTATCTCTGGCCGACCCATCATTTGATACACCAGCTCCTGTTGATCTACTTTTAGGTGCAGATATATTCCCACAGATATGGAATAATGATAATATTCAGTTANATTAATTCACCTAAATCAGATATTACAATTTACAGCAGCTATGACCAGATTATAAAAGAGTGAGGTGGTTTAATACCTCTCCCAACAATTATATTAGTCTAATAGTCAATTTTTGTCCTAGTTGCTAAATTCAATAATTCATAATTATAATAATCATATTTATAAGCGAAAATAGGTCGCTTATAAATAATTATATGAATGTAATATTTATGAAATAAATAGCTATATATTGATAATCAAAATTGTTCTTCAAATGAACAATATAGTAGGATACTTGAAATAATCTAACTGTATTAAACCTGCATGATTATGTTAGTAGAAACATGTCACAACTTTGAAAATTTAGTCTGCAGACCTGCAATAAAAATGTTTTTATCACAAACCAAATAGTGTTGCTTTTAAACTCACATTGGCAATAAGTATTATTTTATTTAATTTTTTAAGAAAACATTATAAGTATTGTTTGAGCCCGATAAAAAAGTTATCAATTTAGTATATGTTCACCTCTAGTTGGTAATACTGGATATGGTGCAATACGCACTTGTACCGTTGTTATCAGCTGCTGTTGCTGTTGTCAGTACAATTTAACGTTTCTGTGGTTTTTAAATATGTGTATGTTCTCTAACCTGCAAGCTCATGCATTGTTTTAACGTGCTCTACGTACTTCTACACACCGTAGATGGTTATTATGTAAGCTCATACAGTGCTCTCAAATAAAACCCACATTGTTGCTATGAACAATGTAGACACTATTCTACAGTTTTAAAGTACTGCTGTCCTGTGCAGAGGATTCAATGAAATAGAGAATATCAGCTCAGATGAACAAGTCAATGTACAGCTCATGTGATTCATGAAGGAGGCAGATCAGCTATAGCATCATTCAATACCCAAACACCAGAGAGAGTATTTGTTGTATCCCTTAGCTCATAAGGCCACAACATCATTTAAATATATAAACTAATCATTTAAAGGTTATGTACTTAATTTTTAGGTTTAAGTATTATCGGTCCACATGATCCTTATAAGCTATTGACGCCAACCGTTAATTTAGGAGTGTCATGGCGCAACAAGTATATACTTGGTCAAGTAATTGTGTGGATCNGTCTCTCACTTAAGAAGTGGTCAAGTAATTGTGTGGACCTCTTGGATGACTTATTAGATGAAGATTGTGCATGCAATCCTCTGGCTTTTGATCGTGGCGATGGAATTCATGTTTTAGGCATGGAATGGATCCCTGATACCGATTGCTTTACTTATGATATAAGTGCTATAAAGTGTGTTCCCACAAAGCGAGTAGTACTTTCAGTAATTGCTAGGATTTTTGATCCTTTAGGGTTTTTGGCTCCTATGTTATTTTATGCCAAATGTTTAATGCAGCGACTGTGGAAGGCAAAGTTAACTTGGGATGATCCGTTGACAGCAGATATAGCTGAGGAGTGGTATAAGTTTGTTAGTTCTCTTGGCTGTAGAACATCAATCCGAGTCCCTAGGTACATTGGAGCTGCACTAGGAAATTCTTATGTAATTTGCGGATTTTGTGATGCTTCTGAAAAGGGCTATGCTGCTGTAGCTTATCTTAAAGTAATGGATTCTGCTCAGAACGTGTATTTATACCTGCTCGGGTCTAAAACAAAACTGACTCCAATGAAATCTTTTACAATCCCTAGACTAGAATTATGTGGTGCTGTTATATTAGCAATATGGTTAGCTCGCCTTAAGAAAATTTTAGAAACCCATTTAGGTTCTCTTAATGTTTATGTTTGGTCTGACTCAACAATTGTTTTATCTTGGTTGCTCAATCCACATGTTTCTTTAAAACCATTTGTTTCATATCGTGTCAATCAAATCCATAAACTGCTCCCTGATTGTCATTGGGCTCATATCTGTTCAGAGGAAAACCCTGCAGACTGTGCTTCACGTGGCTAGTCACCATCTGAACTTCCTAACCATAAATTATATTGGAAGGGTCCAGCTTTTTTAAAGAAACCAGTAGTTGAATGGAATTTACATTGGGAATCTATGCCAACCAGTCTGTTGCCCGATATTCAACAAGTTAATGTTCAATCCTTCAACATTCAAGTCCAGGTTGAATGGTACAGTGGATTTTCTTCTTATATACATTTACTTCGTGTTGTTGCTTGGATAAGACGCTGGGTGCCAAAAGGAAGAAAAGTTAATGTCAATGAAACATTTTTAACAACTACAGAAATAAATAATGCTCTTGTTGCAGTGGTAAAAGAATCACAAAATTGTCAATTTGCTGTACTAGTGCAAGAGCTGTCCAGAGGGAAACCAATTAGTTCCAGACATTTGGCTCAATTGTGTCCATTTATTGATACAGCTGGGATAGTAAGAGTAGGAGGTCGACTGCAAAATGCTAATTGCTCATACGAAAGAAAACATCCAATACTCTTGTCCAAGGATTCTCATTTAGTGTTATTGATTGCTCAACATTGGTATTTATTTGCTTGTCATGCCGGTATGCGATTGCTCACCTCTCTTATTCAAAAACAATTTTGGGTTGTAAGTATTCGTAAGATTGTATATAAAGTTATAAAAGGTTGCTCTATCTGTGTAAAATTAGCTGCTGTAAACCCCCAGCCTCGAATGGCTGATCTGCCAAATCCCAGAGTTCAAGGATGCAGGATCTTTTCAGATGTCGGAATAGACTATGCTGGTCCGTTACTAATGAAGGAATTAAGTTTGAAGGANACTAATGAAAGAATTAAGTTTGAAGAAGGCCAGGGAATTTAAAGTTTATATTGCCTTATTTATTTGTATGTCTACTAAAGCAGTACACTTAGAAGTGGTTTTAGATTTGTCCACCAAAGCATTTATGGCAGCCATGGATCGATTTGTTTCCCGAAGGGGTCTACCAGTCTCGATCTACTCTGACTGTGGCACAAACTTCATTGGAGCAGCGAATCATCTTCATCAACTTGTTAATGACCCGGCTAATAGAGATCAGATCACAAAGAATATCCATTGTATATGGCATTTTAACCCCCCTAGTGCTCCTCACTTTGGTGGTCTCTGGGAGGCAGCTGTAAAATCTACCAAGTCCTTGTTGGTTAGAACAATGGGGTCTCATATTTGGACGTTAGAAGAATTCTGTACTCTTCTGTGTCGAGTAGAAGCAGCTCTGAATTCTAGACCACTCACACCATTGACTTCAGATCCAAATGACTTAGATTGTCTCACTCCTGGTCATTTTATTATTGGTCAAACATTATTAGCAGTGCCTGAGGAGTCAGTGTTGAATAGTCCAGTTGATTTGAGAAACCGTTGGAAGCTCTTACAACAAACATTTCAATCTTTCTGGAAAAGATGGTCTTCTGAATATTTGAGTACACTCCAAGCTCGTGGATGTTGGTTAAAAGCTCAAGAAAATGTTAAATTGGGTGCAATGGTGGTACTGAAGGATAATAGCTTGCCCCCTTTAAAATGGAGATTGGGTCGTATAAGTGAGCTACTACCTGGAAGTGATGGTGTGGTACGCGTTGTCAGGGTGCTCACCAAGCAGGGAGTAATTGTTAGACTAGTAGTTAAATTAGTTTTATTACCTACCAATTAAATTTGAAATCTTTATTTTAATTTTGATTTAGCTTAATTAGCACTAAAAAAAAAAAAAAAATGTTTATAAGACCCTTTCCTTCATATTTAACTAAGCTCCTAGTTAAATACTTACTCTGTATAGTCCTAATTATTCTTAGATATTCCTTTTTTTTCTTGTGCCTTACACTTTACAAAGGAAACTTATTAATTGATTTATTGATTTTTTTACTTATTACAATAGAGAGAGAAATTTATAAGAGCTACCATTGCGTGATGCTACTACATAATGGTTTGTCTGATATGTTTAATAAATTGTTATTTAGGTCATTATGTTTTATATAGCTACTTTGTTAAGTATTTTGTAACGTGACAAAATGTGAATTTTATGATATAGATAGATTACTGTTTTGCCTTGCTAATGGGCGCGCGTACGTTATATNGATAGATTACTGTTTTGCTTTGCTAATGGGCGCGCGTACGTTATATCCGGCCGTGTAATCAGAAAACTGTACTGTTGCTGTCAAGGTGAACGCTATACACACAATATTCTTTATCAGTTTAACAATCGTTCCCTATATGACACATACACTGGCCACCACTGTCCATACCTGTATAACTCTAATATTGTTCATATTTTTATCTGTTGTATATTTTGTAAATCGTTAAGCCGATACCCTCTCCCGAACGGGTTCGTCGTCGTTGTGTCTCGCCCGGTGTGTAGGAATTTTTTTCGTGCTCTCTTCCGTCGTGGTCTGTTTTCTGTGTGCGTGCAGCCAATTATAGTTTTTTTTTTCGTGNTGTGCGTGCAGCCAATTATAGTTTCTTTTTTTTTTTGTGAGTGTCGTTCATCTTAATAATGCACTAATTTAACAAGGCGTCGGCCATTCCCGGGGCCGAGATCCCCATCTTAGGATGAGTCCCATCCGGGACTGGGTATCGTATTGTTGTTTTTTCTTTTATTTATTTAATATAATGTATTGAGCCTCTTTTTCTTTTATAAATTTATTTTTTATGAGCTATAAATAATTTTAGCATTGCTGGTTATAAGGTTATTGGTCAGTGGTGTATCATGTATATTTCACATATATATATATATATATTATTCCCGCAGTGCTCAAGTACGGTCCGGCCGGCCAGATTACAGAAATTATCCGCCGCGCCCGGAGTACACGGACTTGTTCCGATGCGGAAGACGC